TTCTAAAAACCGGCCAGCCACAGAGAGAGCCCTCCGGGTCTCAACCAGCGAGACCACAGCTTCCATGCTGGGTCTTCATTCCGGGAGCAAAGGCATTTTCTGTGGCCAAATTTCTGTCGAAATCGAGGTTTTTACCGTTTTCCGTGGAAATTGTGGGGGAAACCAAAATTTTTCGTTCTAAAAACTGGCCAGCCAAAGAGAGAGCCCTCCGGGGCTCAACCAGCGAGACCACAGCTTCCATGCTAGGTCTTCATTCCGGGAGCAAATGCATTTTCTGTGGCCAGATTTCTGTCGAAATCGAGGTTTTTACCGTTTTCCGTGGAAATTGTGGGGGAAACCAAAATTTTTCGTTCTAAAAACTGGCCAGCCAAAGAGAGAGCCCTCCGGGGCTCAACCAGCGAGACCACAGCTTCCATGCTGGGTCTTCAATCCGGGAGCAAAGGCATTTTCTGTGGCCAAATTTCTGTCGAAATCGAGGTTTTTACCGTTTTCCGTGGAAATTGTGGGGGAAACCAAAATTTTTCGTTCTAAAAACTGGCCAGCCAAAGAGAGAGCCCTCCGGGGCTCAACCAGCGAGACCACAGCTTCCATGCTAGGTCTTCATTCCGGGAGCAAATGCATTTTCTGTGGCCAGATTTCTGTCGAAATCGAGGTTTTTACCGTTTTCCGTGGAAATTGTGGGGGAAACCAAAATTTTTCGTTCTAAAAACTGGCCAGCCATAGAGAGAGCCCTCCGGAGCTCAACCAGCGAGACCACAGCTTCCATGCTGGGTTCTTCATTCCGGGAGCAAAGGCATTTTCTGTGGCCAAATTTCTGTCGAAATCGATTTTTTTTACCGTTTTTCGTGGAAGTTGTGGGGGAAACCAAAATTTTTCGTTCTAAAAACCGGCCAGCCACAAAGAGAGCCCTCCGGAGCTCAACCAGCGAGACCACAGCTTCCATGCTGGGTCTTCAATCCGGGAGCAAATGCATTTTCTGTGGCCAGATTTCTGTCGAAATCGAGGTTTTTACCGTTTTTTGTGGAAATTGTGGGGGAAACCAAAATTTTTCGTTCTAAAAACTGGCCAGCCACAAAGAGAGCCCTCCGGAGCTCAACCAGCGAGACCACAGCTTCCATGCTGGGTCTTCATTCCGGGAGCAAAGGCATTTTCTGTGGCCAAATTTCTGTCGAAATCGAGGTTTTTACCGTTTTCCGTGGAAATTGTGGGGGAAACCAAAATTTTTCGTTCTAAAAACTGGCCAGCCAAAGAGAGAGCCCTCCGGGGCTCAACCAGCGAGACCACAGCTTCCATGCTGGGTCTTCAATCCGGGAGCAAATGCATTTTCTGTGGCCAGATTTCTGTCGAAATCGAGGTTTTTACCGTTTTTTGTGGAAATTGTGGGGGAAACCAAAATTTTTCGTTCTAAAAACTGGCCAGCCATAGAGAGAGCCCTCCGGAGCTCAACCAGCGAGACCACAGCTTCCATGCTGGGTCTTCATTCCGTGAGCAAAGGCATTTTCTGTGGCCAAATTTCTGTCGAAATCGATTTTTTTTACCGTTTTTCGTGGAAGTTGTGGGGGAAACCAAAATTTTTCGTTCTAAAAACTGGCCAGCCACAAAGAGAGCCCTCCGGAGCTCAACCAGCGAGACCACAGCTTCCATGCTGGGTCTTCATTCCGGGAGCAAAGGCATTTTCTGTGGCCAAATTTCTGTCGAAATCGATTTTTTTTTACCGTTTTTCGTGGAAATTGTGGGGGAAAACAATATTTTTCAATCCAAAAACTGCTCAGCCACAAAGAAAGCCTGCAAACAATGCAATTTTTTGCTGTTCAGTTGCTCTTCGGATTGTGAGTTTCATCAACATTTCACAAAATGTTGAGTTCTGATGACGATTCTATGGAGAGTTGCAATTCTCAGATTTCATATCAAACTGTTATGCAAAATGGCAAGGAGGTAGCAAGGAAATGTTTGGTATGTACCTGGATTGTAGGTAAGGGCATGAAAAGAAGAGGAAACATGTGTATGTAAACAGTAGAGATTGCTAAAGCTGTGAACGCTGTGATCAAACCGAGCATACGGTAGTTCATCACGATTCGTCATCGCATGCGAAGTCAAAACACGTGCCGTCATCGCATGCAGTGTAGGGTGCGATCAATAGTCACATGCCGAGACAACCCTCTCCTCTCTAACTTGTCTGCGGTTCGGAGTACACCGCGCCTCTAAAAATCTCATTGTCTGTAACCTCTGCGAGAGGGTGTGATGTCTCGCGCGCTCACACTGTCAACAACTCGCCCTCCGCAACGCTGAAGGGGGGTGGCCGGGGTAGGTGATCCATGTGTAGTTTTCGTCGTCTCGCCTGATGTTTCCAGTTAATACATAAGAAGGATATTCAGTTGTTGTTTATTCGAATAGTCATTCGATCAAGTTCGGTCAATCGAATAATCGATAGTTCGAATTTTGGAATGTGCCCATATTCGAATATTCAAATTCGAATGGTATAAAAATCGGAAATCAAGTAATATTTGCTCATTTGAAAACTTGTAAACTATTTCGGAGGCGTGACTCGCGCCACGCCCCCTTTTTCTTCATTATTCGTTATTCATTCGTTCGATGAATTTTTAAAGATATTATTCGATATTTGTTCATTCGATCAAAACTTGCGTAGTTACAATCATATCACAAACTGGCAAAAAGCATACATAGTTTGGTTTCGGTAGAAAAATTTCTTGCGAAAATCTGTTACATTTACATTTTTGAAGGAGGCGGTTGGAAGTATATATTAGTTTCTCAGTGCTGGTAGTTGTGTGGTTGAGCATGCGAAAATGATATTGAAGTTTAAGTTGACGGATACATTTATGGCATCAGGGATCGTTCTATAAGAGCACTTAGGGTGCACGTGTTTTTGGAAATGGATGAGACTTGACTTATGGCTTTAATTTCACAGCGCACAGGCTGCTTAGAGGTTCGAGACGAAATACGGCACTGATGGCTGGCTGCTGAAAACCATAAATTGCATTTTCATGCAAAATGATTAGCATATTCATAATCAGCATGGCAAATAACCCCACCACACCAAGTTTCAGCAAATTTTGTGATCTTCACACAGCTACCGTATGGCTACCGTAATCCCGCTTTGTGGCCCTGTAGCGAGAAACGACTCTCGTATTCGTGATCAGCATGCGAAGTAACTCCATTGTACCAAGTTTCGACAAAATTTATAAATTCCGCCCAACTACCGTATCCCTACCGTAACCGCGCTATATGGGCGAATGGCTAAAAATGAGCATCAGATTCGTGATCAGCGTGCCAGAAAACCCTCCTGTACCGAGTTTCAGCCGATTTCGTGACTTTCGCCCAACTATCGTATCCCTACCGTAACCGCGCTATATGGGCGAATGGCTAAAAATGAGCATCAGATTCGTGATCAGCGTGCCAGAAAACCCTCCTGTACCGAGTTTCAGCCGATTTCGTGACTTTCGCCCAACTACCGTATCCCTACCGTAACCGCGCTATATGGGCGAATGGCTAGAAATGAGCATCAGATTCGTGATCAGCGTGCCAGAAAACCCTCCTGTACCAAGTTTCAGGCAATTTTGTGACTTTCGTCTAACTACCGTATACCTACCGTAATCCGCTATGTGGCCCCGTAGCGAAAAACGAATGTCATATTCGTGATCAGCATACGAAATAACCCCAGTGTACCAAGTTTCAGCCAATTTCGTGACTTTCGCCCAGCTACCGTATTCCTACCGTAACCCCCCTATGTGGGCGAATGGCGAAAAATGAGCATCGGATTCGTGATCAGCGCGTCGGATAACCCCCGGGACCAAAATTTTACAAAATTTTGAATTTTTGTGTTCAACGGTGCATCATGATACCCCCTTCATGCTTCATGAAACTCGGAGCAAAATCTACTCCGAAGGACTTTTTTCTGGACCTCTGCGTTTACGCACTATTTCCCTTTCTCTAACCAAACTCAGAGTTAACTCCGAGTTTCGCGGGCTGCTGAAACGCGCAGCAAACTCAGAGTTAACGCGCAGCTGAGCTGCGCGTTTCGTCGCGTAGCGTCTCGCGTGGAACGAATTACGCTACGTTTCCATACTTGGCATAAAGTACGTCTTGCGGGGTATCCTGCCATATAACCCTTTCCCCAATTTGGTTTGCTTATGCAGGTGTTAATGGTCCCCGAAAGGTGCGCGTTAACTCAGAGTTAACTCTGAGTTAACTCTGAGTTTGAGCTGCGCGTTTCGACAGGTTTACTACCGGCCCAGATATATAACAGTGGAAATTCTGCATAATTTTACGTTATTTTATCATTCTCTGGTTCTCGGCGGTTACTGCCTGGATCGACCTACTACATAGATATATGCTCTCAATACTTTCTTTTGCGTTCCTATTGTCATTGTCCTAAGCTTAAAGAAAAAAATTTTTTCAAACCCAAAAGTGAAGGTGGTCACCCTGTACCAGCTCAAAACTGAAGGTAGGCGGAGACTCGGCTCCGACTATCGCACCTCTGCTCGCAAATCTCTGCTCCGGGGGTGCGCCAGATTTGGAGGAGTTCCGGAGCACCAAAACGCGTGAAATGGGAGGGCTCCGGAGCACAAGTGGCAAACTTCCGCTGGGAAGAGCCCGGAACCTTCCCATTTTCGCTCCGGAGGTATCCTTTCGACTGTCTGAGTTGGTGCTTATGTCGCACGGTCCAAAAAAGATGTGGGAAAACTATTGTTAAAGGCATAAACTGATTTAGGATTATTGATACAAGTGACTTAGGACGCATAACCTTTGTAACTGCTATGCAAATGTAAGATTTTAGCATTTTGTGTACATAGGAAGGAAATATTTTGCAAAAAGTACGGAGCAGTTTACAAACTCGTTGGAAGTTGCGGAATTTTGTAGTAAAACATGCTGTGTCTCCTACAGCCTGTTGAAAAGTAAAATATTTGATCAGTTCAAAATGTCAAAACAAAAGTTTTCTTCTTCTATAGAGAAGACTTGTGCTTCTAAGAAATTTTATTTAGATCACTAATTTCACCATGGGCAACTACTCCTACGGTTACGAAGCGGATGCCATAACTGACATGGCATGGCCATTCATTGGTACAGCGTCCCTGCAAACAGCAGAAGAGACTGCCTTCGGAGTGAATGCAACGGTAAAATCTAAGAGTTTTACACGTAGGTGCAGCGCAAATTCTTGCTAACAACAAGTGCGTGAAAGTCTTTCATTTTTTGAAACCGCAAACTTTTAGAATGGTTGCCGTAAAAACGCCTCTTCACCTAAAGAAAACAATTACCACTGAGACATCGATCTGCACTGGAAATTGCTAAACAAGAAAAACAAGGCCATACTGCAGAAACGTTCCAATAGGCAGGGTTGAGTGAATCCTCACGCATGACAAACCATACGGCAAAGGTTGTCAGAACTCTCCCGCGAGGCTTGGCCGACTTTTTCAACTAGGCCCTCTGTCTTTTGAGAAAATGGAAATGATAGGAAGTGTTGGGAGATAGTGCGCAACAAATACATTACTGACTATGTCATTCTGTTTATGCAAACCGCTTTCTTATGAAAGAACCTAATGGTTGCTTTAATCCTACTCACTTGTTGCCCTATCTTAAAGGCAGTGTCCTGGCAGACATTTCATTCCTACCTTTCTGCATGTTTTAGACACTTTTCGACACGTACAACCCGAATATGAGCTTTGAAAGAGGTGAAAAGACCGTTTTTGGGATGTTTACCCAATTTCCAAAATGCGGATCGGACGAGAATTTCGACGGAAATTTTTGGTCCCGGCACGAACACACCGCTGCCTGTAATTTTTGCTTTGGATAGCATGCACAGTGCCGGAAGCCTTGAGGTCTCGCGCTGAACAGGTAAGCAAAGCCGTCCAAGCGTGCGCCGTTTGGAGTTGCGCGCGCCGGTTCGAGGGCTATTTTCTTCCCTCAAGACATGAAAGTGCTTTTTCTCGTTTTTCGGCCATGGCGATGCTGAAGGTGCTGGACGAGAGCCTTCCGCCGATGAGAAGCAACTGGCTGCTTGAGGTATCAGCCAATTGTCCCAGAATGGGTGGAGTGGCTTCATCTATAAAGTCTCTTGCACCCGCGTCGCTTTTTTGATGAGAATCTCTCGTCCAGCCCTTCAGCAATCCAGGGCCGAAAATCACCATAAAAAGCACCCTTTTGACAACTTCGATGAATTCAAACCACGGTCCTGGACTCAGCACATCCAGAAGCCAAGAAAGGATGGAAAGCTTACAATTGCAATTTCCGAACCACTGCTTTTAACTGCATGCATGGAAGATATCATCCATTCTGTGACTAGAACAAACTCGAACATGTCCTCTCACGAATTCAATCGCTAAATTATCCATATCTTGTTGAAACACAACCATGAACTTCTTAAATAATCACATGTCGTAGAGTCTCCTCGAATTCCCTAGTCTCACAAGGGAAGCAAGTTTAGCCGAAGCGACTTTTTTAGATAGGATAAAAATATCGTACACGAGGGCATAAAACGCTAATTCCAAATCTGTCTTCCTAATCTGCGGAACTTTTATGGACGAAGAGTCATGTGTGTTTGGGAGCGAAAAATTGAATGTGCAAGTAGGACAATAGTCATGATATTTTTTAGCGCTTTGGTGGAGCAAATATTTGCACTCTGAGATAAAAAAAAAATACATCACACTTGATTGATAATAAGATTTTAGCAATTTATTTTCCTAAATGCACTTTTAATCTTTTGCTCGAATAAACGCTCATAAATCCTCGTCCACAAATGTTCCGCATTTAAGAGAAGCAGATTTGAAGCAGCGTTTCATGCTCTTCAATATCCGAGAAGTCCAATTCGACTAAAAATGTCCCCTTGTCAGAAGAGTAACAGCTTCAGATTTCCAATTTGAGCAATGGCGATTCACTTAATCTAATTCTCCCAGCCTTTTGGGAGTTTTACTTCCTAGAATGCTCATATAATCTATTCCAGTACGACAGCGAACTTGACTTCTACAACATCGACTGTAATGCTGATGTGACCGCCAATGTGAACATAGCCGGAACAAACTTTACCATTGAGTCTACCAATCTCATCATCAAAATTCATGACAACTTCTGTATCCTAGCACTTCACCATTTCGAGATGTTCTGGGCGGCGCAGTTCATTCTCGGCTCGCCGTTCATCAAACAATATTGTACTGTATACGATGTACACAATAAGCAAATCGGATTCGCAAAGTCACTACATTGACTATTTTACCTCATTTTTGCTCAGTTTTAGTAAATCATTTTCTTTCCTGTTACAAGTGAACCAGTATTCTAAAGGGGTGCTGGATTTGCAGGAGCGTTCGCTGCGGAGTCGTGCAGTTTACCGAAATTTCACCTTTTTCAAATAAGCACAACATTCTTTATATACAGACTAGTACAGCGATATAATGCTGAGATTTGAAGACTGGAACACTAAGGCATACCTCATGCGATTTGGCCAGATCGCCACTTTCACGCGACTTGGCGATTTGCCAGATTTCTATAAATCTATCGTGCGCGCTTAACGTATAGGCGGGTAGCTTGTGTAAGTTGTTGCAAATGGGTTAAGTTCTGACCAAAGGAAACGCATTAACGACGAATTACATAGAGTCGCTGTTGTGCCAAATCGCGCAGCGACAGGAATTGCGCGAGGTATGCCTTAGGCCTAACGTAGCCGTGTCTATTATTACTATTGAGCATTCCCACCTACCATAAATGCACTGTTCAACCTTTGTCAAACCTGCCAGAATTGCCTTACAATTAGAAGTGTCACCATGAAGTACAAAAGGTATTATTTCACTACGTGAAATGTGCTTAAAATGCATGCTGCTGTATTACTCCATACTAAGGAAAGGTATCAAATCGCAGTAGTTCTGGATGGCGAGAAATAAAAGTAAGGCATGCACCATACTGCTGCCTTGGTCCCACCGCCATTGACCACAACTTCGTCGAAACCGCGAATTAGGACTGAAAAAAAATAATTTCTGCTTTCACTCATTTCAGAATTTTCCTCTGCTTAGCAGTAGCTGTTTCGCTTCTTCATCTGTGTTGTAATCAGGGTCAAGCAAAGGGTGTGGCACATGATCGCTGGATACGACCCCCCCCCCCTTAATTGCGTCTTAATAAGACCTCCCCCCCCCTGAATTTTATACCTAAGATAGTATTACCTGAAGGCCCTGTCAAACATAATGGGCAACAAATCGATAATGAGCATGTCAATTAACCCCTGTAGATAAAGTTTGAGCGAATTCTGAAGATTCAAGATAATATACCTAACAAGGGAAGTTCACTTATTCGAAGTGGCGATTCGGAAGGAGATCTATACCAGTGGATAGAGCTCAAAAAGCTGATCTAAGATGTACCTTCTATATCTGCGATGCGCCGTTCTGAAAAAAGTTATGAGCTTTTCTAAAGTCAAATTTTCGTGCATTTTGAGTCGCAAAATTATGATAATCGCTATACAAAAGTGTGCAAGTTTAAGCAAACCACCTAGTAAGTATTGTAGGTCTAATTCGACTTCATCCGAACGTTTCGAGTGTTTTCCGACCATGTCGTTTATTCACAGGCCGTCATTTGCTTCCTTTATCACACTTCCATTATGTATACAGTCGCTTCATTTCATATGATCATGTGTGTCATTGCACACACAGTTCACCTTTGGCGTCCCCATCCTGGATTCGTGGGAGAAACAAGCCTTCGGGTAAGTGTTTCCAAGGTGTTCTTAGCATTTTCTTTCCTTTTCAGTTATTAGTCACCTCAAATTGATGTAATCGATAACAATCGGTAAGTCTTTCGCGTTTTTGCGATTGCAGATCCAGGATGAGGACGCCAAAGTGGACTGTGTGTGCAATGGCACACATGATCATATGAAATGAAGCGACTGTACAAAAAACCCCCATAATCTCCAATTAAAAGAACGCGTCGCGTCGGAAACTTTTTTTGGAAACTACCAGTGGATAGAACGTAAAACGATGTTCTCAAATATATCTTCAATATCTGCGACGCGTTCTTCTAGATGGAGGCTATGCTTTTTTGTTTATATAACGGAAATGTGATAAAGGAAGCAAATGACGGCCTGTGAATGAACAACATGCTCGGAAAACACTCGAAAACGTTCGGATGAAGTCGAATTAGACCTACAATACTTACTAGGTGGTTTGCTTAAGCTTGCACACTTTTGTATAGCGATTACCATGATTATGCGACTCAAAATGCACGAAAATTTGGCTTTAGAAAAGCTCATAACTTTTTTCAGAACGGCGCATCGCAGATATAGAAGGTACATCTTAGATCAGCTTTTTGAGCTCTATCCACTGGCATAGATCTCCTTCCGAATCGCCACTTCGAATAAGTGAACTTCCCTTGTAAGTGAAATGGTCATTTTCTAACATGATTAACTTTGTTTCAAAGGTGAATTAGCTATCCTTTTTGCACTCAAGACAAAGCACTACTCCTTTTTTGTCTATATCAGAAATCCCGCCTCAAAAGACCTCCAAACTGTGGAACCAGAAGCCAACCAAAATCTCATTTTTCCCATTTTTCGCTTTTAATGGCTGTGCTTTCACCAACTATTACTCAGAGCTAAGAAAACGAATCAAGCCTGAAACATACCTATGGAATCTACGAGGTTTAGGCTATCGATTCATTTAAATACTATTCGCTATTTGGTGTCAATGACATACAACTGAATATGGAAAGGTCTTTGGATATAAATTTGCCCAAAAAGTGGTGGAAAATCAAAATAACATCAAACTGAGTCATTTGGCTTTGATGGGGTATAATATGCATTTGAACCACTACCTAGATGATGATACCGTAGCATGCCTAAGTCGGTCAACACGCAAAATTTGCTCAGGAAAAAGCTCATAACTCGCTTCAGAGGAACGCTTCGCAGCTAATTAAAGCAGATTTGAAATCAGCGTTTCAAGCTGATTTCAACCATATGTGTCTCATTTTAAAAGCCCGACCTAAGTTAAGTGACTTCCCTTGTAAGAAGCATAAAGAAAGTAACTCTTGAGTAAAGGCGGAATTGATATTAGTACAAGTCCAAGCACAATGTTGACAAAATAAAAATACACGTCTGCTTTCGAGCGAAGAAAAGGGATGGGCACGAGGGCGAATGAGCGAAACGTGCGGGCTCCAGAGTATAGAAGTGATACATTTATTACTAATTGTTATAATTTATTATCAATTTATGTTTGTTGTTCATGTTGCTAGATGCAAAACGCAGATTCGCAATGGGTTTCTGTTCTCAACCTTTACAATGTGATGGTGTGTCAGTCTCCACGGATTCGTTTGATGTAGTCGAAAGATGTACGATTTTCGACTTACTTGAGACGCATCCGAGACAATGTACACGTGCAGTAGTTTGCTAGCCACTATAGCTGTAACGAACGGAAATTTCCATCGAATGAACAAATATCAAATAATTGATTTTTGGAAACTTCTTAAACGAATGATATCGAATACTTGATTTTCGAAAAAAAAAATTCGAAGGGGCGAATATCACTCGATTTCCGATTTTTATTCCAGTCCGAATATTCGAATATGAGCACATTCCGAAATTCAGACTTTCGAAAATTCGACTATTCGAATAATCGAATACTTAGACATCATCGAATATTCGAATATACGAGTGCAATATCTATAATATAAACGAATACTCAAACAAGTATTTTCCAAAACTTCTCGAATATTCAAATACTCGAATAGCTTTCTTTTAAAATTCCTCGAGCATTTGATATTCGAATGAGTCATTTTTCCAAGTCGTGGAATGAAGGAATTATTTGAACGATGAGCTTTCATTTATTCGACTATTCGGATAATAGATAAATGGACTTTCTCGAGTATTCGACTATACCAATATTTCGAATAAATTATTTGAAGGCAAATATTCGGTTCCGACTATACTCTTACATGTGACTGTAGATGATTGCTGCGGTGCAATCACGGTGCAGCCAGTGCGGCCTGCGGCAGTATGGAACAACCCTAACAAATGGGAAAAGGCCTTTGCACAATATTTTTATAACTCATATAACTACTTCAAGCTTTGTGATCCTCTTAAAACCGTCGTTCCGCCACTGATAGGAATGAGATGTGATGTGAAATGGGTAGATGCAAGTAGAAAAACATAAATATATTAGAAATCTTCATTGAGAAACTTAAATGCATGGCAACATGAAATCATTAGTAACAATAAAACAAACGCATACATTTGCCCATCTTGACGAGAGGAATGAATATAAAGCGACAAAGTAAAGAATAACGTGTTCGATGTCATCATCGATTCAGTCGCTGAGCAACAGACTGCCCTATCTAAATGATAAAACGGCACTTAACTAGTTGAATATGCTGAGAGTTATCCCCGGACGATGAGTGATTCACGGTCGGCGCCGACTCCTATCCATTTGATGGGCACCTTGCAAAAATCGAATCAAGGAGCTACGGAAAAACGTCAAAACAACAACGAACCTCAATGAAACTTTCGATAAATTGAACGTATTCTTGACATTTAGGTGGGAGATCCTCCCATTTTCGGATTCCCGTTGTTGTGGCTTCCCATCCCGGGAAGACTTTGTATTCCACTTCAACCCGATCCCATGCAGCTGCTTGTGCTAAAATCATAAATTCCATATCGAAAAGTGTACTCTTGGTACTGCACAAGCACTGAGCTTAACATTAAGATAGATGATAGATGATGCACTAAACATCAAGTCATTTGGCAGTTGGTGTCCCTATGACACCTGCTCAAAGGTAAGATTCTCGTAGATCGTGCACCAGGCTATCTTGTTTATTCTAACAGTAACCTGGAGGTGCTTGGATAGGTTTTCCATCAAGGCGGTAGCCAACCGCAACCTTGATTTCTTTGAAGGAATCCAATATATCAAGTTTTGTAAGCGCTATTGCTGTGTAACCGTTGATTTGAGCACTACGACGTAACAGGAACAAATCCAACCAGCCACATCTAAAGTGCTTTTTTGACAAAAAATGCACATCTTAGAGGAGAGCCCTTACCTCCTTCTCCTCCCAGTGGTAACACCAATTTCTTGACCTATAGACTGTAGGCGATCACCTTCTTCGTTCTTGAGCTCGGTAGGGAAAGGACCAGTGCCTACCCTTGTCTGGTATGCTTTTACCACACCATAAACCTGGTAAAATTTGTAATCATGGGAAATCCCCTCGGAAACAAGACCGCTAAAAATACCTGCGTGATAGCAGTGGGTGGAATACCAAGACCAGTGCAAGCTCCACCCACAGTGGCATTTGACGAGGTCACATACGGATAGGTGCCAAAGTCAATGTCTAGCAAAGCTCCATTTGCTCCTTCCACCAGAACTGAGCGTCCTTGCTTCCTCAGTTCATGAAGGCGACTCACGCTATCACCCACCAGATTCAACTCGATGAGTTTTTCGCGATGCTCCTATGCAAAAAATAGAGCACAATATACGTGAAGATCAAGTGTAATCAATACCTTGAATCGAGCAAGCTCCGCCTTCGTATCAATATCTATGCTCGGGAACTGCTTTTTATAATGTTCAACGAGTCGGAGGTATCTGAACATCATATTTCGAATAGCATAATTATAAAGTTGTCGAAAGATTCTAATTAGTTACCTCTCAGAAAAGCTTTCGAAATCACCCATAAGATCAGCAACACGTATGCCATTCCGAAAGCATTTTGAAGAGTATGTGGGGCCAATGCCACGGTTCGTGGTGCCGATTTTCCTTTAGAAACTTATTTTCAAAACATGCAGCAATGGCAAAAAAATTTATGAAGCTATATGAAAGGACCCTGGCACAAAAAAATGCTATCGACGTGAGGAAAAAAGATACCTACTCAAAAACTTTTTCCAGAAGACTATCAGACTAACGATTCAGATCTCGACAAAAATAGTCCAAAAAGCTTTACAACCGGGAAGTTCCGAGAAAATAATCTAATAAACCACTCACTGTGTTGTGCCAAGGCTGTCTTCTTGACGTCCATCAACTTGAGCGTGCACACCAAATACTAGATGAGCCTCGGCAGAGATCATGATCCTATAAGGCCAAGAAATTCTCCATTAAAAAAACAGCAAGCGTCCAGAATCTCCGACAAACTATGGAAATATTCTACCTCTTTTCCCAACCAGGTTCTTTATTCACTCCATTATGATCAAGTTCGGAGAAGAAAGCATCCAAGTTCACAACAACACCATTTCCTATGATGTTGAAGCACTAAAGTAGACTTTATCCAACTACTAACTACTTCTACGACGACAATTCTCACTTTTTCGCTAATCATGCCACTCGGTAAAATGTGGAAGTCATACTTTTTGCCATTGGCTACAACCGTGTGGCCAGCGTTATTGCCTCCTTGGCAACGAGCGGTCACTTGCACCTAAAATGCGGAAGTATAAATGGTTCATTTTTTGAGTTTCCGAGACAACCAGCACCTTTCAAAAAAAAAAGTATTAGGTTAGTTTACAAGTCTGGCACCAAAATATTCGAAAAATCTCAAGTGTTTGTTTTTTCAACAAATTCAATAAAGCTTAAGAAAGAAAAAATCGTGTCTAGTGTGCTAGAAGCATTTTCCGCATTGGCAAATCAAGATGATAGCAAGGTGAACAGAAACACCCAAATCTTCATTCCTTTTTTGGTCCCAAATTGCTGAAAGGTCCAAAAAAATTTATTTTTGACGAAGTATTTGCACCTTATTCTTTTCAAACGCAGGCCCGTTGTAGTGGTTCTATGTTTCTAGCAACAGTTACAAGTTTCGACTTTTTTAGCCGACATTTTGATTTTGTATTTAATATAATTTTCAATATGCATAGTTGGTTAGAGCATTTGCAGCGGGTTCCAATTCAAAAAAAATATTATTTGAAACGTTGCTTTAAATATTTTCTAGGTGAGAATATGTGCAAAACCTACGGCATTCCATATTTGACGTAATTACCAAAATGAAGTCTGCTTGCAAAAACTCACGTCGTAATTTTCGATGAGGTAGTCGATGATTTTCCCTTTTCCTTCATCGCCCCATTGAGCGCCCAGCAGGACCGACACCGTTCCCACCTTAGGAGTCATCTGTAACGCTAATATTTATTTCTAAGAAAGGATACCGATTATAACTCAATTACGAGTTGCAACGCAAAAATTCAATACTAATACTTGGTGTGAAAAACGAGTGATACGGTAAATAATAATCACGAAATAGGAAATGAGAGCAAGGATAGAAATTGCTTACGAAAAACTTTGCAGCAATGAGTTTTTTCAAACATGGAATCGAGAAAATGATGGTCGGAAGTTAATGTACGAGAAGTTCAAATAGCTGTAGGTTACAGCGCACTTTGTATGCAAATATAAAGTAAAATATATATATAATATATTTAAGAACTTTAAACAATTGAAACTTGCCCAAACATTCAAAAAACAACATATAAAGAAATTTGATGAACCAAGTGGGTGGATGCAATGCCGACATTTGATTTATGATCCAGTCAGTTTACGCACTACGCCAAGTAAATAGAACGGCTGTGCTGATGAAGAGAACTAGAAAACGCAAAAAAGAGCCTTAAACCCGCTGATGTGCTTTATTGACAGAAACAAGATACCAGCAATCGGAAAGAATATGCCACCAACAGGTACCATGAAAATACCATTTACTTTTGAGAGAAAAATTGTGGGGCATTTCAACAAACTGGAAACTCATCACGACATTTTCATAGAAAACATGTCATTAGCCTACAAAAAATACAGGCTGAATATTCAGCAACTTCACTTTTCATTTCATTTCGAAGAGGAGCTGAAACAAAGCAAATTTCTTGGATTCTGGAATGCTCATATCTAAACCGAAGACATTTGGTAGGGTATTTTTTCAAGACAAATCCCCACCGCCTCGCAAGTGAGGTATCTGCCATCACTGCACTTTTATATTCCAGAAGATGGAGCACAGATAAAAATTCGATGGTCTACACCTTGAATAAATTTTATGTTTCACTCTATAACTGAATTTGTCAAGTGATTTATGAGATCAGTTTTTTCTTTATTTTCTTCATTTTTTCACAAACAACAGCTCTTCTCATGAGAGTAAACCTGGACATAATAAGCTATGACGGCTTGACAGAGTAACACTTGACAGATAATGACCTTTGCCGAATAGTCCGCAGTTATGGATCAAAAAAGAAGTGCATAATTTGATTATCGTCCGTTTGTGCCCTACCTGATATGAGCAAAGAATTTAGCGAGCAAAGAAGGAAAACTGGAATGAGTGTCCCAGTTAATAAGGACAAAATCAGAACTTCTCAATAGCAGACTGAGAAACATTTCTCTGCGGATTCAACTGACTGGTTCACATAAAAGGAAAAGACTTAACAGCGCTGAAAAATAAGAATCCAAGTGCTGAAGAAGCAACACATACTTGATGTGTTCAGCGTGACAAGTAAGAATTTCTGCACGGATGGTTTCATATGAGACCCTATTGTACTGTTACCCATCACTCTAAGACGATAAAAGATGCTGATTCGCTAAGAAGAAAAGAATTTGCCGACTAAGCACGGAACATTGAGCATTCACACAATCGCATAGAAATCAATACCAATGAACAAATTTCTGTCCATTTTCCCCAGACGGAAAATATGACTGTACTGTCAAACATTCAGAAAATTCCGGCGATGCATCAAAGCGCAGGTCGTATAAAAGCAGGCTGGACTTCGTTTTTGGGGCGAACAAAGAGAATATCGTTTTTGTGGTCAAAAATCGTTTTTCAGACGACGCTTCGTTTTTTGAGGGTTTATACGTTATAGGCTGAAAGGGACACAAAGGTTAAAGGGACTTCGTAAAATTTCGCGAAGGTCTAAGGGAACCTCGTTCTGAAGAAGCCTAGAAATGAACTCAGCGGGCCCTGATCAAAACCCTATGCATTCTTCATAGATCAAAATGAATAGGCCAAAGAAAAGGCTACTTGAAGAATATCAGAGAGGTGCTCCCATCCAGAACTCGGCATTTTTTCGAGAAAGGAATGCCAAGCTACATTAGCTGATGGTTCTTTCGAGAAGCTCGCTTCATAATGTGGAAAAAGGCAAAATCAATAATTTCCAATAATTGGATTCCTGACAAAGCGAAAACGACGTGGACGCATAGGATGCAAAAAAGAATGTCAATTATACATTCCAAAAACCATTCGGATCCAATTTTACGAAGGGAGAGGGAGAGGAAGGGCATTTAAGCTCATGACTCTACAATATCTCTGAACAAAACACAAGAGTGATAAGGCATCATAGGCTAGCCAGGTTCATAAAAATCAGATTACAACACACAAAGTGAATAATTACCTGCTATAAAAAAAAATCAGGCCTGTTGGACTTCCCAGCACATTTCTCTTGGCTCGAAATCTTTTCTTTGTCCGCTTAGCGGAACAAAATCGACTAAGTTCATAATTGAGGAACTGAAAAGGCAGAGTGGCTGCTTTTTGGCCTTGGAACTGAATGAAACAACTGTTAGTTAAGGATCTCGCTTGCCAGGGCACTTGCTTTCAGAAAAAGTTAAGCAAGTGATCGAGAGATATTCAAAAAATAGACTCGATTCATTTTTTTCTAAAACTGCACATCACATTCTACGTGAGACGGATAAGAATTCCATCCTATGTCTATAAACAACCACAACACAGACGGAGACACAACACATGATGCGTTCTGTGATAACATCTGTGCACGTAGGAAAAAAAGGAAAGAAAAAGGCGACGTCGATGATGTTGGTTACCGTATCGCAAATATCAACAACTGAAAAATATGATCTACCGCCTCTACTGAGTTTGAGACAGTATGATTTTGTACACAAAACCTGAATGAATTATGAAAGCAGTCAAACACTTGCAGCCAGAGGAAAACGCATCAAACAGAAAAATGAAGAAAGCCGAGACTTAACCGATACACAGCTGACAGGGTTCAGAGCCGGAATTGTATGAGACTTCGGCTGACAAAATAAGAATAATTAGGTCTTTTGCTATTATGAGTGCCCAAGGTGCTTGACAGTGAGTATTACTAAGAGAGCTCGATAAGCAATCGACTACTGACAGAAATTTGAAAATAGTGGAAAGAAAGATGACTTGAAGCCAAGAAAATTGACAGAGCCTCCATCGCGGATTTTTGCTTATCAGACCTCTGACAAGATGGACATTCGGTGATGTGACCAATTAAATGTGTGATGTATACCATAGCAGCAGTGGCGTACCCAGGATTTCGGCTCGGGGGGGCGCGACAAAAAAATTTTTCTAAAGAAGGTGCGTGGCGTTAGCCACGCACTCCGAAAAAAATTTTTTTACAAGGCTAATTTGAATTTTTGAAAATTTTTAAAAATCATTTTAATTATTTACAAAAATAAACAAGTCACTTGCACATTTTTATATCCCATATAGGTAACTTTCAAAAATTTCGCGACCCATTCTCCCCGCCCCCCCCCCCCTCGGTACGCCACTGCATAGTAGATGTGATGTATACCATAATATGCATCTCGGGACGTTGTTCTCAAATCTGCCCCCCCCTCCATATCTGCGAAATGATCTTTTGAAGAAAGTATAAATCTTCTCTTTAAATTTGTGTTTGGTGTAGTTCACCGTATGTAAAGAAGACCTCAGACACGTAGTGCTGTATTTACACTGACTAATTCAGGTGAAAATTTCGCACTGATGATTTTCACCCTCTGAGTGCATTAACTTCGTAAAAAATATAAATCCAAGTTATCGTTTCGCAAAGAAAAATAAAGTTTTCGAACTAGCATTCAAAGCCACATTATCAATATATACCTTACTTGAATTGTTGCTTCGAGACTGTGATCCACAACGACATGTTAGAAATTTACTTTCTTGTAAGAATTGTAGACGTAAGAAATGCTAAATAGTTGCGTGTCCAACGGTCACCAACCAATCACCGTTTGACAGATGGATATACCACGCAAAAGAAGTATAAAATCGCAAAAAAGCCTTTTGACCAATGTCCAGAAACCGGCAATCCACTACTTAAAGGCAGTGTCCCGGCAGATTCGGGTCCTGGGGGATATACGTGTGGTGGGGTTCCTGGTCACCCCATCGACCTCCAGGCGCACTCCGGCTGGGTGATGTTCCCCGTGGGCCGAGAAAATGGCCCTTGAACCGGCGCGCGCAACCCCAACTGGCGCGCGCTTGGACGGCCTTCCCCGCCTGTTCGGCGCGGGACCCCACGAGCGCTCTCCCCCATGATGCATGCTATCCAAAGCAAGAATTACAGGCGGCAGGATCTTCGTCTGAGGACCTCCACCAACTTTCCATTAAAAATCTCGTCCAAGGTGCTTTTCAGGAATTAGGAAAACGCCCCAAATTGGCCTTTTCAGCCCGTTCAAAGCTCAAATTCGGATTCTACGTGGCGAAAAGGCCTAAAGCATGCAAAAAGGTGGAGGTGCAAAATCTGCCGGGACACTGCCTTTAAACTCAAATCAAACAAAAACTTACAAATAAAGAAATTAAATGCAAAAGTCCAACAAGCCATGTCTTTGAGACATTTCAAAGTTACTTTTTGGTACTACATGGCACCGATGGAGAAGACAACAATAACAGAACTGCACACAAAGTAAAGCACTGAGACACGGAAATAAATATCCCCTAGCGCCAGCTCAACTTTCGGAGAGGCGGAGCCCAGTTTTCGTTGTAATCCACATGAGAGAGAAAGAACGCGACAAGTCCAACAGAAATCTAGAGAGATTAAAGATCAGTTAGAGACCACTACGAAGTCAAACCAAACAAAGACCAAATTCTCATAAGAACACCAAAGATCGCGGGAGTTCGAGATTCGAAAGAGAAACGGTGAGAACGCCATTACATTTATGGTTATTATTAGGCATGTGCTCTTGCTGACGGTGATACTTCAAGGATAAAAGCATTAAAAGAATTATCAAAGATTTCGTACCTCAGTAAAATCGCAGTAGAAGTTTATGAATGCCTGATGAAAACAGATCGTCAAAAAAAACACTATCACCTCAATTTCACCACAACAAAAATCTTGCTCTCCTGGTAGCTAAATGATCTTGAGACCAGCTAAGCAAAAGTATTAAAAAGTGCACAGACGTCGCGAATATTCTTAGAATGTCATGATAAAAAGCCAAAGATAAAATTCCACTGAGAAAAGATAGCTTCTATCTTCACTGATTGCACGACAAAAGTACAATCACAGCCCTCACTTCTCTGCACTATATCCTTTGTTCTTTGATATTCTGGTAGAAATAGTAATCGGATGCTTCGCCTGGGACCGAAAAACATTGAGGTTTGAAAGCTGCTTAAAGGCAGTGTCCGGGCAAAAACTCGATTTTGAGATTTTGTGCTTATACGGGCCTATTCGCCATGCTGAATGCGAAAATCCACATTGGAAAGCGCGAAAACGGCGAAAAAAGACTCTAATATAAAGGGGAAATCAGCAGGTGGGCGGGGCTTTCCCCAGTGCGATTTCACGCTCCCAGCTTCCGGAGCGATTTTCTCGATTCCGCTAGCCGTTCTAATATCGTTACCGGCCTAGTGCGAATGATTGACTTGAAACCGGAAGCGAGAAGGTCGCTCCGGAAGCCGGGAGAGTGAATTCGCAGTGGGGAGGACCTCGCCCACCTGCTCATTTCCATTGTGTGTTAGAGCCGTTTGTCGCCATTTTCGCGCTCTTCAATGTGCATTTTTGGATTCAGCGCGAATAGGCCCAAGTAAGCACAAAATCTCAAAATCGAGTTTTTGCCCGGACACTGCCTTTAAGTCAATTCTTTGCAAGCATAGATCTGTCATGGTGATAGAAGTGGCGATAATGCGGAAATTTTTGCTATTCATAAGATACACCAAAAATTACTAAATATTAAGAATGCGATCGATCTCAACTCCATGCACATGTGGTACTCCAAATCAGTATGTAACAGGATTCACAAATTCTTTCTATGCTCTGTGCATTGATCATACTATTACAACGATACGGCGCAAAACTATATTTTCTAGTGTCCCCATTTCTCAAGTCTGGGTGGGTCCTCAAGCTAAAAATTGGCTTCTTGTCTGAAAACCTAGAAGAGGCTAGTAAAGTCAATAGAGGGGTACCGTACGGTAAGATTACGGTAGGTACACTATCAGGAGAAAACTTCGAGTCATTCAATAAAACTAGCAAGTGATTGTGATGGTATACACAGATTTCCAGTCTTAAATAACCGTTAAATTTTGCACTTTTGTAACAATCTAGAGGCATTGTCTATTTTAAGCTAGGAGTCTTGAGCTTTTAACAGATTACTATAGTACGACCTCCTGTTAGGTCAATGCCTAAGATACGACGCAAAATATCGTTTCGAAAGCGAGGTAATCGCTCTGGGATAACGAAAAGGCATGAGTACCTCAAGTCAGAACCGCCCCTTCCAGTTATGCCCGCCTATCCGTGCGCGCCCATCCAATCACGGTTACGGAAAACCGGCGTGCCGGTTAAAATCAAGGACATGAGAATGCCCCGCAACGAACAAAACATGGAGTCGTGAATCTGGATGAACGGCCTTTAAAGCTAAGATAATTTTTGGCATACCAAGATAAATAAAATTCAGAAAATAGTCAATCCCTTCTGACCGTTTCATTATTTTCACGAAAAAGAACATAGATTGGAAAAAACACCTGGGTTGCACATCAAGACAAAATGTGTCCTTAATATGCATGCAAACGAGCTCCACCATCTCACCCGCACTCCGTTTTGTTTTATAGGGCTCTGCGGAACCGCGAGAATCGGTGAGTTTGCGGCCATTGCACACGCAAGATGTCACAAGGCCTCAAACCATTGAAACAATCCCGTATTCTTCGAAATCGTTTTATGTAATCAGAAGCTATTTGGTAGCAGAAAAGCGTTTGAAGGGAGAAAGATACCTGAGAAAGCAGTGCGCGATTTGCAGAGCCTACTTAATTATCTATTTAATTACTTGACTTTACCATATACATATTTTACCCACCAACCACACACTCATTTTTGTTAAAAACTGTTGTCAATGGCCTGCCTGAGAAAATGGCATGTTTTTCTACGAAAAAAAAACACTATTACTTCAGTCCATATAGGACCCACCGCACATCTTGAATATGATAAGGACAGGAAAGACGCTGCGTTTCAGAATACAGAAATCGAACAAAAAGACAGTGATCAACCTTGACAAACGAAAGCAACTATAGGGCATTCGAAAACGCGTGACGATGGCGCGACCGCACGCGACACGCATGCGTTTCTGGCAACCGCATTTTCTTGGTTTCCATCTCTACTCGAACGGTTTTACGCATGTGTATGATAGTAATTAGATACTTGAAGTCAGTGACTTAATCAATGATATGTCTTTTTGTATAACTGTTTTATTCCTAGGGCGCAAGGACCGGAGTGAAATCCGTCGTCACGATTTTATAAATGACCTATATCTGGCATACACCAAAATATAGACACAAAAGCTGTTATCATTCTGACTAATTGTCGTTCTATAACGGCAGAAAAAATCTGTGACTAAGCATATTTAAAGACGACATTTCAACTAGACAACTGATAGCAGTTAGACTGCGCGATGAACTGTTCGCAACAAGACAGACTGAGGTTCCTCAAAGAAAATCCTGTTCTTTACATATAGAAAGGAAACGCTATAGATAATATAAAAACCTAGACTTTTTCACTTCCTACTCGTGAGAAAAACACGTTCCCGACATATAGTGGACGCTTAACAGGTTTCAGACCGCGAATTCGCGCAGCAAAAAAGCATGCACTTTTGCTCGTTGGTCAACAAAGAAGAGATCTCAGTTCGTGGAATAAGTACTATATGTAACCAGCATGTCAAATAAGCTCATACGCAAAATTGCGGATATATCTCAAATGATTTTGAGAAAGCGACCTTCAAGGGACCCATCATATTTCGCCGAAAAAAGCCGAAAAGCGCTCAGAAAAGCTCGAGAGCGCCCAAAAAAGCCCAAAAGCGCCAGAAAGAGGTGAAACGCTCTTGCAACTTTTCATATAATTCTGACATTATTTTGATGTGCAGACGACAGAAATGAAACAAAATGACTCGGTTGCGGAAACCGCTCAAAAGGGGCCGTTCTGAATTTTTCTAGTAGCGTCTTTGGGCTTTTTCGGGCTTTTTGAGTTCTTTTGGGCTGTTTTAGGCACTTTTGGGCTTTTTTCGGCAAAGTATGACGGGTCCCTAAGATTTTAAACTCTGCGCAAAATTTCGAAGTGCAGTTTACTCTGCACGAAATTTCGAAGTGCAGTTTCCATGAAATGTAAAGCCAGTCTGCGCATGTGCAAAGAATATATACTAGTAAAAAGAGACCAGTGGCAAAGGCGAGGGAGGAGGAGGAAAGGGGAAGCTGCTACTACCATGGTTGAGTAATATTGAATGAGGTGAGACGAAATGCTAGTGCGGCCGAACTTGACTTTGAATAATCGCGTATTTGAAAGAGATACAGTGACAGGTGGTTGTCATCGGATAATTGCGTGGTTGAAAGAGAATATAGTGTGATATGTACGATGTGAAGCAGGAAGGGAGAAGTTTTGCAAAAGTTGAGAGAAGCAGATTAAATTTTTTCCGGTAAAAGCTTGGTGTAAAACGCCACACTGTGCATGAAAACATAAAAAAAACTATACGGACACTCCGAAATGCGAGATACCGGTCCCTTCAAAGCTAGAAGAGCAGCAGGATATCACACCGATTAGTTTGAGTAAAGAAAGCATAAAAACGCATAGCAACGATTGAAGTCGATCGCAAACGGTTTCAGAATTCCAAGATAAATCTATAGTGACCTTTGAAATGTAAGGAAACTGATATTTACTGACGAGACTGGCATGCAGAAAATCTCATGCACACAATCCGATGTAAACCTTGCCGATACATGACTAAACAACACTACCCAGAATTTCAAAAATTTTTAATTGCTTCTATAAATAAAAACATCTAACAATGATGATAATGGCATAATATGAGGAAATTCTATACATAAGATCTAGTGTAGACAAAGGAAACCAAAAGTCAATTTTGGAACCAATATGCATCCGTAACGGCGCACTTGCTTCCAAGTAGGAATAGATTCAACAATTCAATGAGAACAACGAGCGACACTTAGGACGCATGAACAATAAACTACGACCACCTTGGGGGACGTCAGAAAGCGAGAGGTGATCCGCAAAAAAAATAGCAAAAATCAACAAACAACTAGGATACTAACTACGGCCTACTATTACATATTGGAAAATCTATGTGATTGAAATCGGAGTGAAAGAATTCGTATGAGTTAACTTAGTTTCTCTACTTCTTCGGTTCCTCAGCAGTCTTAGCCTCCTGTGCATCTGATGTTGAGCCTCCTGCATTCTTCTCGGCCATTTTCTTGTAAGCAGCCTGGAAATGATGTGTGTGAAAATCAATTCCAATGTTGATCTCTAGATGGCAGCGGAGAGACCCATAATGAAATCTAGCCATATTACAAACTTTGTATATTATTAGCGATAAATGTCCAAAAAATATTAATGTATGGAGTTTGAGAAAAGGACGCGGCAGCATGCAGCTACGCCGCTGCAGACCAGTGAGAATACGCTCATAGCAGCAGCACACGCTGTTCATCAATGATTTCTAACCCTCGATTCAACTGGCTTGGCTTCAAGATGGCGGGCTTTGTGACCCAACTGAAGCTGCTCGCGCCCGCGACGCACCTGCGTCTCTCTCGCGCGAATGCTCTCTCATCATTATCTAGCCTTAATTAGGTCACGAAGCCCCTTCTTCCCGAAGCCAAGCCAGTTGAATCAAATGGTATATCTACTGCACGTTCGTGTTCTCCGAGAGTATTCCTTCAGGTTTGCAATCTTTTTTCTCTTTCAACTTGTCTGATCGTTAATCGAATGTTCCTTCATTTCGGAGTTCGTGCGCTCCCTCGACTTTTGATTTTGCAAAGTTTGCATCCATCATGACTAACCGCAATATGCATAACCTAATACTAGTATTTTGTTGAAAAGTTCCTTTTGATAAGCTCAATGAAAGGGTTTCGATGAAACAAAAATCTAGTATCTTATGAGTAATCTTATGAGTAAAAGTAAACAAAGTAGCGCACTGAAGTCAATGATGACAACAAACTGGAGCGAGGTAAGTCATGGAACCGAGGGCGCACCAAAATCAAAATCGAATGAAGAATCATTTGATCGACGATGAGGAAAGGTAAAAGTAAAAAAGAAAACTGCAAACTCTAAAGAAATACTCTCGAAGAACACGAGCGTGCAGCAGATCTAGAGATACATCGATAAACAGCGAAACTGTGCTGCCATGGGCGTACTTTCACTGCGACTGTAGCGGCGTATGCAGCGCACGCGGCGGGCTGTAGCGTCCTGCGGCGTAGTATGAAGAAACCCTAAGACTAGTTGTGAAGCAATTCCTCACCTCGAACAACTTCAATGATTGCTGCTGGAGTGAGCTAACAGCTTCCTTGATTGTTTCTGGCTTCTCATTATCCTTATTAGATAGAATCTTCTTGGTCTCTTCAATCTTCTTCTTCAGGGCTTCAGACTGTAAAAGCAGCAGCAATTTTGAGATTCGAGTCAAAAATAAAACTTGACATACCTCCTCCTTAGGCAGCTGATCGGCAAACTCTGTCATCTTGCTCTCGGTGTCATGGATGATGCTTTCGGCTTGGTTCAACACCTGAACTATCATCTTGTTAGACAACAATATGAATGGGGAATAGAGCCATCGCGAGATTAGAGCAAATCCCAAAAACTGACCTCAACCATCTCTTTCCTCTTAGCATCTTCAGCAGCATTCTTTTCGGCTTCACGAATCATGTTCTCAATCTGGTCCTTTGATAAACCACCAGATGATTGGATGACAACTGAAATTTGCACCATCTAGCAAATATCAAAATGAAAAAGACGACTCACTCTGTTGTTCCTTTCCAGTTCCACGATCTCTGGCTGATACGTTCACGATACCGTTAGCGTCAATATCGAAGGTAACCTCAATTTGTGGAACACCTCGTGGTGCTGGAGGGATGCCAACCTAAAAATTATTTCTCTAGTGAAGTTCTATCTACAGGGTAAAGACAGTGTCACTGACCAATGAGAACTGTCCGAGCAACTTGTTGTCATTGGCCATTTCACGTTCACCCTGACAGACTTTGATTTGTACTTGTGTTTGGCCATCAGCAGCAGTTGAGAATACCTAAAATGACAATTTCGCAAACAATAAGGACAAATGACAGTTTTCAAAACGTACTTGACTCTTCTTGGTAGGGATAGTCGTATTTCGCGCGATCAACTTGGTCATTACACCTCCGAGTGTTTCGATACCGAGTGATAACGGAGTCACATCAAGCAGAAGTACATCGGTGACATCACCAGCAAGGACTGCTCCTTGGATGGCAGCGCCCATGGCAACTGCCTCATCCGGATTGACAGCCTTTGAGGGCGATTTGCCGAAAACTTCTTGGACCGTCTGCTGGACCTTTGGCATTCGAGACATTCCTCCTACAAGCAGTACTTCCGAGATTTCTGATGGTTTCACCTAAAAATCCACAATATTTCAAGAAAATAAATGATTTTTTCTAGTGATTTAGGTGCTAAAAACTCACCTCTGCATCATGCATAGCCTTCCGGCATGGTTCGATTGTACGCTTGATGAGATCTTCGACAAGTTGTTCAAACTTGGCCCTTAGACAGCAATGATAGATCAAACGAGAACAAGATTCGACACTTACCTGGTCAGCTTCATGGTCATGTGCTTAGGGCCGGACGAATCCATAGTCAAATATGGCAGGTTTATGTCAGTCTGTGTTGTAGATGACAGCTCACACTTAGCCTTTTCGGCGGCTTCGCGAAGTCGTTGCATTGCCATGGGGTCCTGAAACGAACTAGGCAGAAAATAGAAAGATAGCAGAAATTAAAGGCAGCGTCCAGGCAGATCTGGACCTATGGAGATTTTGGTGGATAGTAATTTTGAGGCCCTAACTAAGGCACTGCCCAAGCGGCAGCGCAGGTGCACTAACGGCTGAGATATGCGCCTCCAAAGTGGAGCCCAGGATCGTGTTCGCAGGATTCATGGCAGTTTCGCGCGAGGATCCAAGCTGCGCCATGAATCCATGCGAAATACGATCCCGGGGGCCAAGTTTCGAGGGGAATATCTCAGCCGTTAGAGCACTGCCTGAGCTGCCAATTGGGCAGTGGCTCAGTTAGGGCCCCAAAATTACTATCCACGTGTGAGATCCCCATGTGTCCAGACTTGCCGGGACGCTGCCTCTAACGAGTCTCTTAAAATCAGCACAAATCCTTTGAAAAAATAAAGAAAGGTGCATCAGCTAACCTTCGTGATATCAATGCCCTGCTCCTTCTTGAACTCCTTAACAAGGTAGTTGACGAGAGCATGGTCAAAGTCTTCTCCACCAAGGAATGTATCACCATTCGTGGATTTGACTTCGAAGACACCTTTTTGGATCTCCAACACTGAGATATCAAAGGTACCACCACCCAGATCGTATACAGCAATTCTGTAAAGAAAAGCAAATTAAGAGAGGCCTGTGCACAGTTAATCTACGGAGATCAATATCCAAGGTGAGATTAACAAGCAGAACGAGTAGGCCAAGAAAGAAAAAAGATGGAAAACTTGGCTTTCGATTTCGTTTTAGTTTTCCCTCGTCAAAGTGCAAAGCATGCTAGAATCAGAACATTATCTAGGTATCGTTTCCGAAAACCTAACCCGTTTTGAAATTCGGTCTTTGCACTTCTCTAAGTAGGCACATCGATGATCAGGCGCGTAAACACACAAGTACCTCAAAGTGTCTACCACATAATGCACCACACACCAGAAAGCAAAATATACAGACGTCAGTTGGCACAAGGAATCCATTCACGTTCAATAAATAAACAGACGCAACATTTCCGCATTATTTGTAGCAAAATGCGCGATATATTGTGAATATCAACGAAAATGCAAGGTAAGCAGGGATATAAAGACAGAAAGGCGGTGTTTTGGCTGGAATAGAATTTTCGAACAAACCCAGCGGATGGTAAATTCAGAAACATGAAAAAGGCTTCCGAATCTGATCAGGAAAAAACGAAAAAACTGAGGCATGCTCAAATGAGCAAAATTCCATTCCAGCAAAATAAACAAAACTTACATCTTGTCATCGGTCTTCTCCATGCCGTAAGCAAGAGCAGCTGCAGTAGGCTCGTTGATGACTCGAAGTACATTCAAGCCAGCAATTTGTCCTGCATCTTTCGTGGCCTACGACGGTGCGGATATGATAGTTCGCGAATACGAATCAAACAAGTCGTGAGTACCTGTCTCTGTGAATCATTGAAATATGCGGGAACAGTGATAACAGCATTGTGAACAGTGGTTCCGAGGTAGTTTTCGGCAGTTTCCTTCATTTTCATTAGCACAAAAGCTCCGACCTAAAGGAAAGAACTCAGCGCATTCAATATCGAACTCAATATGTTACCTGTGAAGGGGAGTACATCTTGCCTTGTGCTTCAACCCAAGCATCTCCATTGCTAGCCTTTACAATTTTGAACGGCACAATTTTCCTGAAAATTACATGTAAGTCAAATCAAAGCAAGAAAGGGATCTAAACAAATTACTTACACATCCTTTTGCACTTCAGCGTCATCAAAGCGTCTACCGATCAACCTCTTCGTAGCATATAGTGTATTTTGTGGATTGGTGACAGCTTGTCGCTTAGCTGGAGCTCCAACTAATCGCTCACCGTCTTTTGAAAAGGCTACAGTTGACGGAGTCGTTCGTACACCCTCTGCATTTTCTATGACCTGCAATGGTTTATAGAAAAAAATTTGAGTTCTTGAGCAACAGAAATCTCCAAATATGCAGAAAAGTGCGGAAAGAAGTGGAATGATCCTCGGGATACATTTTGACTAAAACCAATCACATCCTCTATAGACTGTCCTCCTCGAAGCTCTACCACTAGATCTTGTAATGTAAACAGCAATCAAATTCTTACAGATGAGTAACGCCCTTAATCGTTTGATGCATTCATGCCTTACCTCTTACCACCTAAAATAGTTCGAACGAGTTTGAAAAAACGCGCAGAGATAGATGAGTTTGCTTGCTTTGTTCAATGCTCTCCACTTCAAACAGAAAAGATCTAACTCCCACTCTCTCAAGCATCGATTTATACAGTAGTGAGCAGATGATGCAAACATGCTTTTTTTCTGAGGGTACAACTGCTTCATATCCCCTTATGGCCACTAATCTATCTTCGCACTTTGCCAAATACTTGCACGGTAACGAAGACGGCATTTTAACTGATACTTTCATAAGTGAGGCCGAAAACCAAACTGAAAAAAAAGCAATACCGTCTCATCTGTCAATCGATTCCCAGCTCTTTTTTTTTTTGTTACATGCCACACTACGACGCTTGACACGAATGAGAAACTATACAGGGTACGCGTGAGCGCTTTTTTCCTGTCGGCAGCTGTACGAATTCACTTTCGTTAACGACAAGTACGAAGTAAAAGAAAGTGTACTATGCTCATTTTCGTTGAGATTTACGGTCAAAGGATAGAAGGCCTACAGAAGCGCCACTGGTGAAGACTCTCGGATACGGTTTTCGGGACAAAAATGATTGTTCATTAAAATGAGCAGAAATTTGAGGCATGAAGCAAGCGTCGACGGCTGAATATCAATGACGCAAACTATTCGCGAATTTTGGTACCTTCATTAACATGAAAAACCAAAAAAATGCTCGCTGCTTGTCTCTAAATATAGCATCAAACATTCCTGACTTCGATCGACAATGTAAATTGCAGATAAAACTAAAAATTACATTCATTATAGAGATAAGCAAAATTTAAAAGATATTGGAGAGACTTGTTAAAGGTGTACCAATAGTAATGATCACTAAAATGAATGAGTGAATTTGAGTATTCACTAACAAATCTATCAAACACAATATAACAGGTGTCCCAAAAAAATGTGAACACTGTTTAATCGTTAATAACTCCCTTGCTTTCAAGTCTTTCGCCGAGCTTGAAGCACCATTCTGTAGAGCGAGGTTCAACTTAGATTTGTAGTATGCAGCGAATCACCGTTCGCTGCTCGTTACTGTAGGATTACGGTATGAACTTCTAACATGTGGAACTATTGTGAAATATGCCATTTGACAAAATGTTTTTCAGAAAATCTGAAAAATCGTGTACTAGGGTTTTCGCGCACGCTGATTTCATTACACAACTTTTTATAAGTGATTTCAGCTTTTTTTACGGTGTAATCACCTTTCTGACAAATGCTGGGAATTTGGTTATTACGGTTTAACCTGGGATAACTTTGGAAAGAAGCATCACGGTAAAGTGGAAATTTCATATTCGAAATCAGCGTCTCCCATTTCCGTAGTATAAGAATTTTTGGCTTGTTTGGCTTTATTCCGAGTCAGAATATAGCCTCCAATGGCCAAAAATCCTTGTCGAAGTTTGTACGGTAATCCTGCAGTAACGAAGAGCGATGGACGATTCGCTCCATACTGTAAATCTAAGTTAAACCTCGCTCTATAGAATGGTGCATCAAGCACGGCAAAAGACATGAAGGCAAGAGAGTTATTAACGATTAAACAGTGTTCACATTTTTTTGGGACACCCTGTATGTATTCAACTATGATTGCATCACTACTGTGAAAGCTACAGTTTTGTCAAGTTCTAAACCTTACTTTCAGGCACTGAAGAACTCAACAAAAATCCCTCGTCAACATTCGTACCGGCGCAAGTTCAAATAGACATTTGTAAGCAAAAAACTCCGTGTCAGATTTTCAGGGCTACAGCAAGAACCCAGTTATTATAGCCATGATATGTGAAGCATTTGTCTATTTGAAGTAACAACATAGTAGATATAGATACTAAAACATGTCATGATGATTATCACACACCTTTGGTTGTTTACCCTCCATAACAGCTACACAAGAGTTTGTCGTTCCCAAATCGATACCAATCACTGCACCTTTGATTGCATCAGACCTAAAGATCAAGCCGGACTTCTGAGAAAAAAGTATATAATAAAAAAACAGATGAAACTTACTTCAACCGTTGTGAAATGGTATTCAAGTAGGCCGTTCGTGCAATAAGTCGACTGCATGATGCAGTAGCACCGAAGAACGTCCTGACTGCAGGAATTAGCATCTTCTGTAGAGGTTACCTACAAACAACAGTTTACGTAGTGAAGTAGTAGTGAATAAGCTAAACACATCAAGCGCAATCCAGACGGAGACGGATCGATTCAAAGCGTAAACAAGCGCGCACAAAACAACCGACACGCCGACGCCGCAACGAAACCAGTACGCAATGGAACAAGAGCTTCATTATATTGACCTTTCGACTAAAAACCGATACTAAAACTCAAATGTAATTAGCAGACTTCAAAAATGTCGAGAAGATCGCCGCCTATCTCGAAATTTCGTCATTTTTTACGGTACGCCCCTTGGTCCTGATGAGAACAAGCGTCACCGTCCTATAATGAGCCCCGCCCACATTCATTTTTTATTTCCTTTTGAAGCATCTTTGATTTCTTTCGGGTTTTTTTGTAGAGCACGTGATGTGTGGAATTTTCTGTTTTGACAGAGATAGATTCGTTTTTTTTTCAGGCAAAATGGGGTTCGCATCGGCATCGCGAGAAGAAAAGCTGAAGATGATGAAAACGTCGCATACGAGGAAAACCACGAAGAAATTGAATCGCTTGGCGAAGAAAAAGAAAATCTCCCGTAATGTCATAGACGAACTGAAGAGCATCAAAGCCAGGAAATCGAAGGACTCGAGGAAACGAGTAACAAATGTGAGAAAGCATTTCATTCACCGTTTCTCCTTTCACTACTTTAATGATGGATCGATGGCTCATAGATCTTTTAGCATCTATTGAGTGGATGGTACGTCTACTCACGTAAACTACAATCAGCATTCGAGATCATTTTCTAGACAAAGACCACTAATTTGGTTGACTTCTAGATATTTACACTTATACCATCCACCGTAATACCAGAAACTGGCTCTAGGATGCAATATGATAAGCGCGATCACTGTGCTGGAAACTTTTTTTTTGCAATGAGTTTCACATGCAGAAAGCTTTTCTCAGGCTACGGCTTCAAAGTTCGTTGGTGATGTTGTGACAAAAGCTGATAGGTTTTCTTCCATAAATGTTCTACAGGCCATCACAGAATCCATTATAGTCTTCACTTGACTCTAGCTAAAGATGAACTACGCTTTAGGTTCCTTTTGGGCCCCATCCACGGATTTTGTACTCCTGCTAATCACTCGCTCAAATCCGTTAGCAACTTTTCTTGCCTTTGATTCAAGGGTCTTGGCGGCTGGAAGGCGGGGCTTCGTGACCTAATCAAGGCTAAATAATGATAAGAGAGCACACGCGCGCGAGAGGCGCAGAGTGCGTAGCGGGCGCGAGCGGCCTTGATTAGGTCACAAAGCCGCCCTCCTCCTGGCCGCCAAGCCAGTTGAATCAAAAATTACTCATTCATTCATCATTAAGACAAGTGTTTTCAAAGTCGGAAAAAGCTTATGAAACCATGTTTTATTTCTGAAGCTTGTTAGTTACTACTGTACTAGTTTCTTTATAACAAAGATAAGTTTTTTTGAAGTGTTGCATAATTTAAAGCTCAAACTTTTTGTTGCAGATAGAAGATGACTGGGTTGCTGATCGCGAAGTGCAGTTCGATGAGGAAGCAGAAGACGTTCTGCCTCTCGATATGCTAGACGCAGACATCGACTGGGAACACAGCGCATTCGCTGGGGTGAAAAGGAGACATGATCAAAGTGATCATTTTATGAGCTTCGTCTTTTCTGTCATTCAAAATTTTTTTCTTTTTCAGAGCTTACGGAGTTCGATGGTGGAGGCAGTGACGACGATGAACATGGCGAATATAGCGACATAGAAGCAAAGAAAAGGAAATTTGAGGGACAGCTCGGAGACAACCTGCAAGAAATGCTGCCTATAAAGTTGAAGGTAGTGGATTTTTTTCAATAGCGGTTTTTTTGGACATTCCTCATCTGATTCCACAACAACGTTCCTTTTTAGGACGGTACCATAATCCGACCAACTCGTGAAAAAGGTGAAGAGTTATCTGACGAAGAGCAGCAAGAAGATGAAGAAGAGGAAGCAAAACCTGAGATGGAAGTCTGTTGGAATGATTTCTCATTTTTTCTCTGATTAGAACATTTTTTTGAGGACTATTCCCATCTGAGTGCAACTGAACTGCTGGCCAAGAGAAAGGAACTCGTTGAAGAATTCAAACAGACTATCGCTACATATGCTCATCAGCTTCTCACTAATCCTCAGGAGAATGTAGGTAAATTTTGTTTTATTTTCATATTTGTTGAAGACGTCTGGTATATATTTGAATACTTTTTCCAGATATACAAGCTACGTGATCTCTTCCATCTTTGCCAGGGTGAAAAAGTTCATTCGTTGGTTCGAGAGACCATCCAAAAATTAGCAGTGGCTAGTACGTTGCAGGTCTGTGGGTGAAGCTACATTTGTTCATTTCATTGACGAAAAGCTTTTAGGTACTGATTGATATAATTCCCGGGTATTCTATTCGTGAACTCACAGCCGAGGAAAAGCAGCAGAAGGTCAAGAAAGAGACTAAGAAGCTGCAGACATATGAAGAATCTTTACTACGATACTATTTGAAGTTCCTTCAATTTTGTGAAAAGATGACAGGAAGTGAGTGACAAGCTCTTTTTGGCATTTGACAGTTCTCTCATCATCTCTTTAGAACTCAATGTCAAAGGGCGAAAGCTCGACGAACATTCGTTCAGCTATAAAATGGGTATGCTGTGTTTGAAAGCGATATGCAGATTAGTGATCTCTGCACCACATTTCAACTATGCCACTAACATACTTTCGACTATAATTCGAATGTCTTTGTGCAGGGATCCAGCGGTAAGTGTGCCATAGTTATATTTTTTGTACGGTTGCCTAGATTATAGTGGTTAAGGTTCTTACTGAAGTGTGTAAAACTTTGCATCAAGTATTTCGGGAGGATCTACATTTGAGAATGTCGCTGTTTGGAGCAAGGAGTATCGCATCGCTTGTGACCAAGAGGAAAGGCCATGTGCCTCCCCAGCTCATCGCTACGTTCTTATCTCTCAACATCAAGGTTAGGCAGGATTTTTAGTTACATTTACTTGCTTTGAAAATAGCTATCGATTGGCTTAAACAAGTTTTCTAATCTCGAGCTTGTTCGAGAGTCTCCGCCTCTTTAGATAGTTTTCTATTCAGGAAGTCAAGAATGAGGACAAGAAATCTGGTAAGGGGAGAATTTTCGCCAAAAGAGCAATGATCAAGAAAGAAAGAGCGAATAAAACAGCCAGAAAGGCAAGTTGCCTGACTTTCAGTTTTTTTATATCAAGATCTTTTTCTTCCAGTATAAGAAGCAGCTTGACAAGTTGGAAGCTGACTTGAAGGAACTGGATGCAGCTGAGACCCTTTCTACGAAATTGAAGACGGTAAGCTTGACTTGGATCTCCTTGCTATGATCAGATTTGATCTGTCTTTGATAGCTATATGAAGGCAAATTCAATTATTTAGGCAACAGAAACGATGAAACACGTGTTCCAGTGCTACTTTTCAGTACTCAAAAGAGTACCGAATGTAGCACTATTGGAACCTGTGCTCGAGGGCCTGAGCAAGTTTGCTCACCTCTTAGGCGTCGAATTCTTTGAAGACATCGTGCTTACAATGGAGGGTCTAGTTGACAAGGAGGTATTCACAACCCATTAATGTGTTCTCCTGGTTATATTTGTGCTTTAGAACTTACGGCTCCTCGATCGGTTATATTGCATTAATACTGTTTTTGTGATTTTGTCGGGTGAAGGACAGCTTTTGAACGTTGATCCATCCAGATTTTATCGATCTGTGTACCGCCTTATAAATCAACTGCCTTTTGAGAAAAGACCAGGTATATCGAAGTGTTCAGCTAATTGTAAGTATGAAGATGTTGCAAAGTTTTCTTGTATCGTAGAAGCGAGACAAAAACAGATCACCATGATGGCGAAAGCGCTTGACCTTATGATCAATGAAAGAAGGAAACAGGTAGTCGTTGCTTCTATATCATTTTGTTTGGGTCCCTCAATATTTGCTATTTAGCTGCCGTTATCCAGAGTTGCGGCATTTGTTAAGAGGTTACTAGCTGTTGCAACAGTTTTAGATGATATTTCGGCCCTATGTCTGGTCGCCTTGGTTCGGAGCTTCTTCATCGTAAGTTTCCTAGTAAGATTTCACAGAGCTTATGCGCGTTAGATGCAAGCTCTTCTAGGCCCACTCGAAACTTGTTCAGTTGGTGGAGGAGGACGATGCAGAAGGAGGAGCTGGGGGAGTTTATCGAGCCGACATAGATGATCCTGACGTTTCGAATGCACTCGGTAGCAGTATACGACCAGAACTCAAGATGTTGACTCGAGTACGGTAACTGCCACTGGAGCCTCATGTTAATGAATATCATTTAGCGGCGCCACCGATCACTAAATCAATTTGCGCAGAATGTACTTCAATCGGTGCCATCGACTGGTCCGCATCGGCTTAATCCTCAACTTACTTCCATGTACGTTCTAAACAGATTTACTTTGTTGTTTCTTTTTTTTTCTTTTGCAAGACTGTCAATTTCGCGCACTTTCCAACTAGACAGTTATCCTATTCTTTTGTTTCCCCATCTTTTTCGGTGTAGTAGCAAATGCTGCATCAGAGCTAATTGCATCAAAATGGTCTATATTTCAGTAAACCGTGGGCGTTGATGGAACGTGAAATAGACGAAGCCGGAGGTTATTCACAAGTGGACATGAAATACATGGAAGATATAGAGAGGTCCTTGCAGGTAAATTTTTCTTGATTCTTTTTCTTTTCACCTTGATTGTCACTTCGCATGTTTCGGTTTCAGAAACGGCAACAGACGTTAACGGCGAGAAATCTGCAAGTTAGTATAGCTAACTGGTTGGAAAATAGACCCACATAGTTACACGTTGTTGACTGTACATTATTGTTCATTGTTGTTGTTATTTTCATCATTGTTAAATGCTATAGGCTATCATTGAAACAATGGCACAGATCTACGGGAAGGTGTGATATCGGGCCTGCTACATTCTAGGTTGAATATTCAGATATTTTTTATGGAAGCGGTTTCAGCAATGTTCTCATACCAGCGCCAATGATCAGCGAACGATTGCTGTCTCAGATGAGTTTTTTTTGGCTCAACATTTCTATGATCCGCATCTAGCTTGTCATCATAGAAGTTGCAGAAGTTGTGTTTGCTGTACAGCAGAAAGGAATCAAGATTTGGGCTTGATCAGCATAGAAATACTAGTTTTTCGAAAAATTTTTTCGTCATTTTAGCGAGTAGAGGACGTATTCGAAAACCATTAAAGGCAGCGTACACCCAAAATCTAAGTTACCGAATTTTCTAGATCTTTCTATACCGTGTTTATACTGGACCCAGAAGAAGACCAACTGCGTTGGTCCGGTCTCCCAATGTTGCTTCTGAGCGGAGAAAACCCCCCTCAATTTTCTTTCACTCCGCCCCTTTCCATTCACTCCGCCTCCTCCGGACGAATCCACGACAGCGTAAGCTTCAGTTGCCGTTACAGTTGCTGCTGCAATGCTGTTGCATCTGCAACTGCAGTTGCAACAGTGCAGTTGCTTTTTGCGGTGCGCCTCCTTCGGGCGACGAATCACGACAGCATATGCAGCAGTTGCAGTTGCAACTGCAGGCTGTCATGCTGTTGCAGCTGCTGGCATGCCGACGGGGACGAGCAGTTCGAAACTCGTCCGCTCCTGATAAGAGGGTTCCCTGAAATCGGGGTTTTTTGGGACTTTTGGAGGATTTCAATGACACAACTGTAATCAGCGGAACGGAAAGGCCACAGAATGACAAAAACATCGAAGGTGACATTTTGGGTGTACGCTGCCTTTAAGAACTATCCAGACATGAAGTGTATATTGCAGTCTTTGTACGACTACTCAAAATAACCCCCTTCCCCTTCTCCTCCCGCTGATTTTCACAATGTCTACTCTAAACCTTGGGAAAAGATTACCTATATACAGCCAAAAATTGGATCTCAAGGATATTAGCTATTGTGAGAATTATTTCCTGTTCGGAATGTGCAAAATCTTTTCCTGGTGATCCCGCTTGGTTCAAACCACAAAGCACTTGTAGCAGGAACACAAAAGTTCCTTTAGTTTTAAAAAGTGGCTTAAAATTCATCAAAATTTACCAACAAAAGCAATTGAAAATTCGTAGATTGAACTTAAAGGCAGTGTCCCAGCAGATTCGCGCCCTCAGGGATATTGCTATAGGGGGCCCTGGTCATCCCATTGACCTCCAGGCGCAGCCGGCTGATGATTACCCTGGGCCGAGAAAATGGCCTTTGAACCGGCGCGCGCAACTCCAATCTGCTCGCTCTCGGAATTCCCTTACCGTTCGGCGTGGGAATGAGCTTTGTTAAGCATTCCGCACATGCGCGAATCGCGGACTCCATGTTTGCATAACGAGTGAGTAGGCAAACAATTGTAGCAGCGGAGTGACATCGAATAAGACGAAAACGAGCTATCAAGACAAGAGAAAGAAATCCAGGAAAATCTTTGAAGGATAATGGGATCGTTGGAAAGCTTTTGTATTTCCATTAGGCAATGTTGACCTGGATACCATTTTTATTATGTTTTATGTGACTGCGTATGTTCCGTATCCACTAGTAGAAATTTATATAAGAAACCGTGACTGTGCATTTGTACCATCTCTTATTCTTACTCGATGTAGTTTCTCAAGCTTTTTTCCAAACTCTCTTACTCTTGTCTGATAGTCCTGTAAGTAGCGATTTCCACTATTGTTTACTCAGTATCGGCCATAATGACTCATTGCAGCCGGACAACGGCTCAAGTATGATTTTTTGTAATCCATTCATCTTAGTTGGAGAGGTCACTTGCTTTTTGTCCAATCGCATGGATTGTCTCCTTGCTAATAAATAGTTGTTGGGCATTGACTTTGTTAAGGCCGGCGAATACTAGTCACCTCATCTAAGGTGTTCTCATCATTTTTAGTACTAGCTGCTCTGCGGAACTATGCAGAGCCTTACAGGGACCTCACAACCGCTTTTCCGCATTGTGCATGCTATCCGAAGCAAAAGTTATGGGCAGCAGGGTCTTTGTGCCGGACGTCCGAACTTTTCATTGAAATTCTCGTCTGAGCTGACTTTTGCAAATTGGGTAAACGCCTCGAAAAAAGGTCTTTTTACCCGTTTCAAAGCTCAAATTCGGGGTCAACGGGTCGAAAAGGCCCAAAACGTGCAAGATGGAAATGCAAATTTTGCCGGGACACTGCCTCCAAAGGCAGCGTCTAAGCAGACGTCCGAGTCTGGAAAACCACCCTCGCTTACTCGCACGACCTTGCAACGAAATCTACTCAGCCTCTGACGTGTTCTACATGGCAAACACAGTTGAACACATAGCGTTTACCTGTTAATGCGTGCTTTCGATAAGGCTAGCATCAGAAGCACTCGTCCGGTTTTTCCCAAAATAGCTCCAAAAAAATGGTTTTTTGGGGAACTCACGATTTTTTAAGCGCCGGATTTGGAGTCAGCGCCATGAAAAGATAGCATAAAAATATAGAGACAATCTGCCTAGATGCTTCCTCTCAGTGTCTGGGCAAAAAGTCGATTCTAAGATTTTGGAGCGCGAAAACTGCGAAATGGGCTCTAACGGAGGAGGGAAATTAGCAGGTGGAGGGAGGGGGATCTGCCCCACTGTCAGTCTACACTCCCAGTTTCCGCAGCGATATTCTTGCTTTCGCTAACCGCCCTGACATCGTCACCGGTCGTGCGAATGGTGACTTCAAATCGGAACCGAGAAAGTCGCTCCGGAAGCTGGGAGCGTGAATTCAAAATGGGACATGTTAATTTCCTTTCCGCGTTAGAGCCCTTTTTTGTCGTTTTCGCGCTTGCCAGTATGGATTTTCGAATCTAGCATAGCGAGGTCCGGGTAAACACAAAATCCCAAAATCGACTTTTGCCCGGACACTGCCTTCAAAGCAGATTAATGGTGCTGCTTTGATTTACCACTATCGTCAGCCGCCTCCGCCATTATCTAATAAACTTACACACCACCCCAGGTACCACTTGGTTTATCCAAAAATTGAAAAAAAGTACTAGAGGTCATCATAGAGCTTTCTAACGCATTGGCAACGATGTGGACCACCGGTGGCTCACGCACTTCTTACTGCCAGGGACATGGATCACAGGAGGCCCACCCTTCTTTCAAGGGCATTCCCCCAAATCAGCAGTTTTTCCCATTTTCTGCACTTTGGGCTGTCATCAAAGGCCACCGCTGCCTCACAGTTATGCGCGGCCATTGCGCACGCCGGATGCACCAAAGCCTCAAAGTACTTGAACCCGTACTTTTCAAAATCGTTTTAGGTAAATGGAAGCTAGAATCTGATAGAAGAAAAGCGTTATGGAGAAAGATAACTGAGAACGTCAAGCGCGTGCAATAGCCGCGAACTCATCGAGTCTCGCGATCACGCAGAGCCCTATGGGCCTACGTATCTAGTCGCCTTGAAGCGGTATTTTTAATATATGTTGCCATTTGCAACTGAGAAAAATTATGAACGTTCTTCACACGAAGTTGCGCTGCTGCAGACGGTCGGAATGGGCGCTGGGGGTTTTTTTGATCTCGTGTGCTAAATTCAAAATTAGTTGAATTAAATTGTTTTAGTCATATGATGTTGCTCGGTGACACAAAGCGGGTCGTGGTTAACTGACGGATTTGACTATCGAGTGCAACAAGATTTTATTGAAGAGAAGGTCACTTCTTTTGGATCGCTTTGCAGGTAGCGAACCTGTTTAGATTCGAGACGAATAATTTTGCATATATACGGAAAGACTATCTCATTTGAACCAGCCACTGCCGTCGAGTACTTCCTGCTAAGAGGATTAAGAATTAACAAAACCTACACGTTCGTATGCAAATGCCGTAAAATCCGAACTCGTTTGTTGACCACCTCGCTCGAGCGTATTTGTCTAGTTTCTATCTGCGCTTATTATACCAAGCTACTACGTAAATATCGGTGAAAGGAAATCATCTGATCGTATTGATTCTTCTGTCGGATCGTTCCGTCCTTGTTGTTTTAGAATGTGTTGTTTCCCGCTTATCACGGATCGCGATGCGATTGAGCAATCTGCATGAAAGTTGTGGAATGCAACAAGATGACTCCTCGAAGACAGCGGCGTTCCTTTCGCATTTGAAATATTGACGATCGCAGTGCGATCGTCAGATTTTAGAAGCTTGTTACGGAAAGAACTATGCCGCGAAATGCCCAGTATGAATCCTCGACGCCAGATGCAGCACTCTCTCCTGAAAAAGTTCTCGACTGTAGATAACGATCGCAGCCGCAGAAGAAGTGGTAGAGCCAGCAAGAGAAAGTCTATATACTTAGCAGTGGCGGACCGAGAGGGGAAAGGATTTACTACAATCATATAAATGTGCAAGTAAGTTGTTTGTTCTTGTAAATAAGTGAAACAATTTTTGAATTTTTGCCAAAGTTCAAAATAGCCTTGTGAAATTTTTTTCGGGGTGTGTCTGGCGCCACGCCCCTTTTTTTATTTCAGGGGTCATGGGCCCTCAAAAAATTTTCGGAGTGCGTTGCCCCCCTCCCCGCCGGATGGAAATCCTGCGACCATCAGTGTACTTATCGTTCATCATGCATCTTCGTCACTTGCACTTATTGTTTGACTGCCTCACTTGACATCCGCTTTTTCTTTGTATTAGAATGCAGTTGTCGTTGTTCTTTTTCACATTTATTGAGCACGTCTTTCGTTCCTTTTTTGGAAATTATCCGTCACGACTCGATTACGTACCCAAGTTTGAGGCAGACAACGAAAACGTCTTTCGTACGAGTGGTCAACCGGCAAAGTTGTACGAATCTTTCTACAGCATCCTGGTTGAGTGTGTGCCACTGTCTGGTGAGTCGGTGCCTCCCCCCCCCATGTTAACCGGTATATGTTGTAGTTTATATACTATCTCATACAGAGTCGTTCGATAGTAAAGCTAACTGTTTTCCTGCTTTGCAAATCACGGCATATAGATTGCGATCATAAGCACTTTCCGAGCAAGGATGGGGCTTTGGGATTTTGGTGCCATGCAAAAGTAGGCCCCTCGGACACGCCACGCGCAAGTGCGAGGCCACATCGTTTATCAGAAGCCAGAAATATTGGAAATTAAGAAACTTAGTCTCTAGGGAAACTCCCCCACCATTTCCTGCTCTGCAGCGGAGTATACATGACACCACAATGAAGTTGTAGAATCCTGCAGCAGCTTGGCGTTCTAGCACGGAAATGTAACTCTCTACTCTCTCCGTTTTCGTGCTCTCTAATATGAATTTTCGGATTCCGCGTTGCTTATAAGCCCAGGTAAGCTAATTTGCTAGAAACTGAGTTTTTGACCGGACACTGCCTATCAAGGTTACTGATCACTCCTGTGTATTCCATTTCAAGCAAAAAATCTTCCTTCCTCAGTTATATTGAAAACACACCAGTAATAAAGAAGATGTGGAATACAATCAAATTTCGATATTTATTTCATTCTCGAGAATGTGATTGATATATGACACGTGTTTGACTAGTTATGCAGGCAAGAAGGTAATTACAGAGAAATTTATGAGTAAATCACAAAAACACATAGATGCAACAAATGATATTCTTCTAACATGAGAAAATTCACATGCGCGTGAAAGCAGAAGCGACGAGGACGGAAGGACTAGAACAAAGCTTCATTTCGAATGGAAGTCGCCGAGTTGAATGAAGCGATTGGTTTGGCAATATATCTTCTAACGGCATGGTGAAGTAAAGGATAGTGATAAGTCACTTTTGTGCAAGTATACTTTCCTTCCATTCATCATCACATGCAATTCTCAGCGACTTGATCCTCTTGACTAGATTATTGTTATATATCTTACAAGGGAAGGATAACTGGTGACCGCGGCCTTTTGGAATACGTTATACATCAAAATGCTGATCTCAGAACGCTGATCTCGAAACTATCTTCATCAGCTGCGGAACGCTTTTCTGAGTAGAATTAGCGCTTTCAAAAGCGCCAAGGCAAAAATATGCGCACCCGCCGAGATCAAATGGACAACCATTGTGCAATACGACAGCGCTAGCACTAGACCATTCGAGACCTTTAACACCTATCGAAATTACTCGCACTTTCGTGCAAATACGTCAGATGAAAGGACATGTGGTTTTTTTTTAAATATCGTTTCGCAGATAACGAATACGGTTCTGAAAGCAGCATTGCAAGGCGAATATCATTACATAAGTCACATATCGAAAGGCTACAGTCACCAAGTATCCTCTCCCCGTTAGATATATAGTTGACTAACTACTTCACAAGTGCAGTTTAAACATAATTCAATCAATTTTCAGCTTAATTACTATCAACCTTCGGATGAGATACCACCAAAGCTGTGCGGTTGTGTATATTGTTAGAGCGAGGATGGCAATCAGGGACGCAATCACATCAATACTGTAGTACTGCAAAGCATTGAGATTTCGCCCGTAGACGTCAAGGTTTTCAATTTTGCCATGCTGTATAGAAAATTCGACTGTTTGCAGCAATCTGTCCCTGATAGAAAATGGCTTGTTGATCATCAGCGACGCCAGTTTGGCAGCTCGAAGAGTAAAGCTGAAAATGTGATCAAAGCATATGGTCTACTAGCGGATGAAGGCGCAGCAAAAAAGGAGCAGATGCAGAGGCGAAAAGTTGGTCTGAAATATTTGCTGTAGACGTACCTTTTGTCGTTGAGGATCTTATTCAGCGCATTCCTAAATGTGTTATAGTTGAAGCTTTCCTTCATCAAAACTATAGTAGTATTCTTTGCTTCTGCTAGTCTTGCATTCCTGAATAATCGACATTTGCATCATAATAATTATAATAATATTTATTGATTATAAATCCTTACTATCATAATATAATGTTCAAAAAATTGAGATGCAGTGTGATGTCACCAAAAAGACAAGTTTGTGCATCGTAACACAACTATGTTTTCGAAGAAATTTTTTGCTAGAATATCACTTTGTATAGTATACTACAGTATTCATTTCCTCAATGCTCACTAAGGTATAAATTCTAGTTTTATAATGAACGTGTATAGGTAAGTATAGGTATTGAAACAAATGATTACTTTAATGCTATTCAAATTATCAGATGAACTCTTTCAATCGTACGTACTGAACTAAAACTACAATTGTACTTTTTGTACTGTACTCCGAAACCATATCAATGCACCACAGTCCTTGTCGGTTTGTACTTATCAAGTACAGATGCAATCTCAGAAATTGAATAAGTGTTGTAGGCAACATTTTAAATTGAGATGCTTCTTGAAAAGAGGAAAAAATTTCTATCTTTGCTACAAATGACTGCCACATCTGCCATGAGAGGGTAGAAGAACGCTCCGCCCTGAAGCATGCCCTACACGGACTATCGGTCCTTAAACATGCATCGCAAGAGGACCTGCCTGCGGAGGTGGCCCAAATGGGTAGAAGACAATAGGTCACAGTAGGCTCGAATCAAGCTAACACGAGCTGTGATAGAGAGGTGCGCATTCATTGCAGATGTCCGTGCGGAACTTTCCCTTTCGGCGACCTATCCTATACCCGCCCAAAATTAACGGATGAAAGAAAATCTTGGCAGTAGTAAGAGAGAAAGCCTCTAGACTCTTGATGAATATAGACTTCTTTGTCACAAGTGATTAGAACTTCAGATACAGTATGGTATAGATGTAGTATGCTGTACACAAGGATGACTTCTACTAGAAGAGCTCTCGAGGTAACTCGTTTCTACTATGAAAACAAAACTTTATAAGGCATTTGTCATCCCTACTGTAGAGTACGTGAGTCAGGTTTGAAGCCCCTTTTTGAGGAAGCATAAGCAGATCCTGGAGAACGTCCAAAAAGTTTTCACTCGTTTGCTATTTTACAGATGTTATCCCAATCATGGTTACCCAGGATTGCTCCCTAGTTAGGGTGAACGAATGAAAGTCCTAGGCATCAAAAGCCTTTTACATCGCAGGATTGTGCATGACATAATACTTGCTTTCAGGATTTTTAGAGGCGAGACTAAACTAAGACCTTCTAAATACTGAGTGTTCAGGCCTACTCATGGAAGGACCACCGGGTTTTCTGCTTATTTACATTTAAATGGCAGGCTTAAACAACTAAACTCTTTTATCAAAAAATAATTTTTTGCACGCACATCGAAATATCTCCAGTGTTCACTTAAAGAAATTCTGTCTTCTTCAGATAGTCTCACACTCAAACGTAGACTCAAGAAGTTGAACTTGACTTATTTTCTTCCAAATGACTACTTCTTGTTATCGCTCGTATAGTGCTGCCGTTTGCCTGCTGAACTTCTCCTACGCCTGCTGCTTCGCATGCTGTTTGGGCCTACTCCGTACTATAAAACTGACTAGCTCTATTAATCTCCCACTTATCGTGCAGAAGGTCTCCTAGTGATAATCTTTCCAAATAACATATTTGCGACATTTGAAGCCTCAAATCATACGCTATTTCGATAATTACTTCTCCCATATGTTGGTTCCAATCCGGTTCACCCTTCCGTTATTATTTGGGAATAGCTTGTCAGGCCCGTTCATCTTTTTGCATTATATTACCGTTCTGTTCTCTCCCCAAAAATGACTCATTTACTTTGGGGCTCAAAATTTTTAGGCCCCTTTTCTGATTTCTTCCCCCTTCTCGGAATGGCTTATGGTGCATCTACCTGAATTGATCTCCGAAGATTGGTACAAGTATGGAGGGCTTTCCACTTCTGGATGTTTCGAGTACACTGTTCAGGCCAGCATGAGATACAAAACAACGGAGATTAGGATGTTCTGAGAGAAAAACTTGAAGTAATTTTCGCTTTACAGTATAACTAACCTAATAAGGCTTGTTGCGGTACCCAGTCGTATCTATGAAGATTGGCAATGTTTGAAAAGGTATCGTTCGGGTCAGACTTCCATATGAACGTATACGTTGGAAGTGATCTTGCAACTTGGTATATTGTTTCACGAAAATAAGCAGGCATCTAAAATTCTGCAAAATTGAATAGAAACCATCAACAAAAAGATCGAATCGACCTCAATCGTCGGTACTACCGAACCAAAGGAGATGTAGATGACACCTACTCTGTCCTTGCGTTGTACAAGCTCTTGTATTTCCTGTGGATTAGGTAGTTTCGAGTAAAATAAATTAATCTCTTTGAAAAAGTACCTGCGTTAAAGGCTGTTTTTCAGCTAGAGCAATGCCACCTAAGTGAACGATCTTATGAGTCAAGGGACGCGCAAACTCGAGAAACTCGTCCGAGTTTGACAGCAAATAGTTGGACTTGCTGTAGTATTCCTCTACATTAGTCGAGACACCATGTCGCTCGAATATGTTCTGAGAGCTTATTTAACTGAATTTTGCATGAAAGTCTTCAGAATTGTCACCTTGTAACTGCGCACCACTTCCACTTCAACGTATTTTGCTATACAACTAGTGATAAAATTGATGACTCGTTCCATAAAGTTCATCTTATCAGTTACGGGCAGAAGAAACGCTGTAAGTTCCGCGTAAGATAGGGCAACTCTGTCATAGCTGATAAAGGAACCATTACGGTAGGACCAGGTTGATAAACTCACTAACAGGGCACAAAGCTGGGAAACCGCGGTGCGTCATAGAATTCCGCCATAGAGTCAACCAGACCAAGAGCGGAGGCGCTTATCATGTGACCAATGCCTAGCTTCTAAAAGAGGATATTTGTTTGACACCTTGAAAGGAGCCATTTTTTTTTTCATGTACATCTCGTAGGGCAAGAGGTTTTTTACATGTTTATTTATGCACGTCAAACGGTAAAAATCAGCAATTTTGGCCGAGAGGGCAGAGCTGCCGACAAGGACCGGCACCGGAGTCAACCCCGTGCACCACTGCGCGGCGTAACTCACAATAACAGAGTGATTGCTGTGTGCTGCGAGAAACCGTGTTAACGATTTATGTAACACTTTTCAGTGTTATAATTAATTATCGTAATCCCAAGCGACTTCGGCTTAAAGGCAGAGTCTACCCAAAATTTCGCCTTCCATGGTTTTGTCATCCTGGGACCTTTCCATGGCCCCGATTACAGTTATAAAGTTCAAATTGTTCAAAACCCTTAAAGACCCGATTCCTCGGGACACTGTTTCAACAACACGGACGAGTTTGCGGCTGTTCATTCCCTCTGCTTGCCAGCAGGGAGGAGCTGCACAACCGCTTGGGCTGCAGCACTTGCGTAAGCACTCGTCATCATGGGGAGGTACACCAGAGATGATTTGTAATACGCATTACAGGCCCGCATCTTCCTTTAGAATTCATCTCAAAGGATCGTAGCAACGCAGATCGGATGATTCAGGGACCCGCTTGATAACTATATGCTAACTGGATGGGGTATTTGCGTAGACGCTGCTTTTGAGGCATACTTCCCGCGATTGTGTCAAATCGCATCCAAGCGACATGCAATTTGTTAAACGACAGACTGAGTGTGCGCGGGCATACGCAAAGGCGCGTAGGATTTGTAAGTTGTCGCAAACCATGAAGTATGACCCAAGCAAAGCGCGCTTACAGCCAGTTATGCAGAATCGTTGCAGTGCCAGATCACGCTGTAACTGCAATCTTGAAGTGTGCCCTAGGCCTGAAGCGACAATCGCAGCCTAGCCCAGAATTTAGTTGATGTGGATCTGCCACATTTGAGCATGAGTAATGCGCACCAAACATAAGATCATTTGCGCAAACCACAAGCTTGTCGCTAAGGCTCCCGCCAGAGTGCCGAAGTTATGCCAGCGCTACGCCAGCATTTCGATCGATACACGTGTATGTCGTTGGGGACGTCAGCTAGCCCCGCCCCGACGAAATACACGTGTATCGATCGAAATGCTGGCGTAGCGCTGGCATAACTTCGGCACTCTGGCGGGAGCCTAATGAAAAGAACGGCATTTATTTGGGTAGGAGAACGAAAGTCGCCAGCTTCGGTCGCCTGCGCGGACTGCTGTCCTGGAACGACATGCAATAACGTTGCGAAAGGACCAGTTAGCCGCGAAAGGCGGCTCAAACCTGGCGGCTTTCGTTCCCCTACCCCATTTATTTCCGCGTAAGTGTTGATGTAATAGCAGGCACATTTTTGTACCTTTTTTGCGAGCTAATGTAAAGTTGGGAGTTCTACACGGTTGCCAATTAAGAAAATAATTTTACATTGAACAGTCCATATCCACAACCAGCTATCAGTTCCGTTATACCGGCGTCGAAATGCTCCCTAGTTAGTAACTCGATGGTGTGATTATCACTCAGCAAATCTAAAACCGTATAGGTTCAGTGATAAGATTACTCCTTATGTTGGAATATGGCTAGAATAGTGCAAAACTTACATTCGCACGATTGCATCTGCAAGGCTGTATGTTCGCTGAACATGCCAAGTTGCTGTACTATCGACTTACTGTTCAATTCCCATACCCTGAGATTTTTTGGATCCAACGCCTTTTGCACCCTCAGTGGAAGATCAAACAAAACCTGAAATCGATGTTTGAAGATGAACGACTTACATCCAACACCATTTCTCAGTATTTCTGCACAGAATACAGCGAACTAAATTTCGAAAAATGTATAATACAGGGTGTCCCAAAAAGATGTGCACACTGTTTGATTGTTAATAACTTTCTTGCTTTCATGTCTTTTGCCGAGCTTGAAGTACCATTTTGTAGAGCGAGGATAAACTTAGATTTACACTATGGAGGAACTTACCAGCCGCTTTTCATTATAGAATTACGGTATAAATTTCGAGGAGGATTTTCAGCAATGGAAAGCTGTATTTTGCCTCAGAAAAACAAATAAGTCAGAAACTCTTGAACTGGGTTAATCATAGTCGCTGATTCTAAATATGCTGCAGGTCGGTACAATGCTTCTTTCATGAGTTAATTCAGATTTAGGGTAAAAACTGATTTTCCAGTGTTCAGCAGAAATGTGAATACGCCATCAAGAAAGCTCAAAAAACTGATGGAAAGTTATGTAGTGAAATCAGCACGCCTGAAAACCTTGCTACACAATTTTTTAGATTTTTTTTTGAAATTATTTCATCAAAAGGCTTATCCCGCAGTGATGCTGTATGCTGAAAGTTCATACCGTAATCCTACAGTAGCAAAAAGAGATTGGAGTTTCGCTTAATACTGTAAATCTAAGTTTATCCTCGCTCTACAAAATGATACTCCAAGCTCGGCAAAAGACATGAAAGCAAGAGAGTTATTAACGATCAAACAATGTGCACATCTTTTTGGGATACTTTGTATATACACTGGCCTTAAGTTAAACATATGACTCCTTTTAGTACAAGCCAATCAATGATCTAGCTTAAACGCGCCCACCACTTCTACCTTCACCTAGAGAGGAAATAGCCGAGACGCATGTTGCCGCAATCGCCTCCGAATCTCTCTTTTGTTGGCTTGTTGCCAACGTGGGAGACGGATTATATCGCTTAGTGGATTATAGACACCATATTAAAGGCAGCGTCCAGGCAGATCTGGACCTATGGGGCTTTCACGTGGAAAGTACTTTTGGGGCCCTGACTAAGGCACAGCCCAAGCGGCAGCTCAGGTAGTGCTCTAATCGCTGAGATATTCCCCTCGAAACTGGCCCCCGCGAACGTATTCGCATGGATTTATGGCAGTTTCGCGCCGGGATCCACGCTTTGCGCCATGAACCCATGCGAAACACGGTCGCGGGGGCCAGTTTCGAGGAGAATATCTCAGGCTTTACAGCACTACCTGAGCTGCCGCTTGGGCAGTGCCTTACTTAGGGCCGCAAAAGTATTTTCCACGTAAAAGCCCCATAGGTCCAGATCTGCCTAGACGCTGCCTTTAAAACTGATTGAAATTGAATGTCAAGTTGAAATCGAAAATCCACAGGAACAAGAGAGGACATGCCGTCGTTGAAACCTTGGAGTTGCGCGTGGATTTGTTGCGCGAACCCTCGAGAGTCACATGTGCTTGAGATTATCTGCACATCGCGCACGGTAGCAGAGACGGGCGTCTGTATTTGTTAAGACTTAGGTAGTAGTAGGATTTGCTTCAGTTTGATATATAGTTTCTTTTAACTGGTGATACCGCTAGGATAATTAACTTGATTTATTACGTCTTCCTCTCTGCTCGCGCATTAGGTTGACTGTGGGTTAGGTATGTTATTTAGATCGGGCAAGCGCTAGGCCCCCGGTTTTTATTTAGGTGCCATGAGCCCACGTCGTCACTCGTGGTATACTTTACATATGAGTTTATAGATGAGTGCTCAATTAATGTTAAATGGGCGAAAGGAGGATATGTGATACACACGGGCGGAGAGCTTAGTACAAATAACAATCAAATTCTAACATAGACCGCTTCGCGCACCTCTTCCACATCTACCACTCGAACACTACCGCTCTCCCTGTATGATTATGCAAGGCCAACGGTTTACATTGAATTCAGTGAAGTTTCCACAATTTACTTTCACAGTCTTATATTAGTTTGAAGGTCCGGGGAGCGTTTTCAGCAATAAATCAGCTAGAAGGCGCATGACGCAGTGGTCTGACGCGTCGCTATGACTGTTGCGATCAGAGTTCGACCTCCCTACGCCATTAACTCCTTAACCATTCAAACACGCTAAGGTACAGAATAACCTAGAAGGATAAAATTACTGATTTGGCTACAAGCTTACTCTCTCCCCCCCCCCCCCTCCCCTTCCTCCTCCCACTTCTACTCTCAAAAGGCATTGCAGCTTCTTGCTCCCAGAGGGTCTATAGACCTCAGTCATTCTTTCCTGCACTCTAAGTTTTTAATCCTCAAAATTTCCTATTTCTGAAGAAGATAGTAGGACCAGGCATACCTGTTTAGCCAGCTTCGACACTGCATAGAGGTATTTCGGACACCATATTGGATGCAAGACAGTCTAGAACATGTTGGTCACCTTGGCAAAAATTGAACCAAAATAATTTCACTAACCACATCGTGTCCTGCCTCCTGCAGAATGTCGGCTATCCGTCCCATAAATTGCATGTGTGAATAACCCAAGGGAGCCGAATAGACAAGAATCTTGTAAGCATGGCTAACATGGCAAATTGCAAAAATTAGTAGTAGCAACAATTTCATTGCCTAAACGCACTCAAAACGTTATCAGTTCGTGTGTCCGTTTGTGCGAAAAATTTCGCTGATAAGAGTTTAGTGTTGAGAGAATTACTGGCTCTTTATCCGCTAGTACACTTCCTCATGAATCATCGATAGTGGTACGACGGAGCTGACTTCGGGGCTTCAAAAAGTTATTGGATAATCCAGCTGACACATCGTGGTACCTGCAATGACATAATACAGAAGAAATGATTACGGAAAATTAGATGAGTTTTGAAGATTTCGCTGTGAGATAATTAGTAACTTCTTCCAAAAGAAAGTAGAAGTTGAATTCTAGAACATTCTGCGAATTTCACTGGAAATGTACCACGGTACAAAATAACAAGACTATTATATCTTGTAACGAACTTGGTTGAAGATTGTTAGCAGTACTGTTCAAAGAAACTTGACCATTTACAAATTCGCGGAAAAAACGCTCAAGTTTTACGAAACGGGAAATACTTTAAATAGTTTTACGACCTTTTTGAGAAAAAACGCTGTCAAGAAAATCGAATGTTTAAGACTCTGAAAAGAAAACTGGCCGAGAAAGAGAGGAAGGCAGGAAAATTACAACACAAAATTGCAAGAGATAAATTCAGAATCTTATTCTCCTTTTTTGAATTTCTTTATGCAACTTACTTCCCTTCAATGGCTCATTTTCATACTCTTCGGGGGTGCAACAAATACAAAATTGTGCCCAAAAATGTTGGCTGTAGTTTGGCTTGAAAACAAATTTGTATTTCAAAGCAAAATTGAATTATGAAAATAATTTATTCGACTTTCCTCCCTGGCCCATACTTCTCCGGCGCAACACCATTGCCTTAATAAAATAGGTCTACTTATTTTTATGACATTAATTCGTGTATATTTTCTTTATCTACTTGATAGTTATCTCTATTATCGTTTTTATGCTATTTCCGCGTTGTTACTGCGATCTAATAATTCTAAATCACAATTTACATTTTATTGCTAACAATGAAAATTAACAAGATCATAAAATCTATGATGAAATACAATATGGGAAAATAAATAAAAATAATTCAAAATACGAACGACAAATTTTAGGATGTCGGTCGACCATCCTAAAGCTAAAGTGCTTCTTGCACCATTAGATGGTTTTAACCTGGATGTCGGCTAAATGGGCTCTGTAGACGACGTGGCCAGTGAAAATGGGGTGAAACCAAGGAAACCAGGGGAAATTACATAAATTACGGCAGAAAACATATTGAGAGGCACCATAATTTCAATAGAAAAAAGGACGGTTTAGACATATGAAACGAATCGATTCGAGGATTTTGCAGGATTCATTGCTTTCTGTAAAATAAAAAATTTTGAAATCAAGCTAAGTCATCTCAAATTAATCACTGCATCTTTGCTAGAATTAGAGACGAAGAGAAAAATTTGAAAAAAAGCTTTAACTTTGCACTTATTGCAATAAAAACTTCTTGGTTTTACTGAGTGTTAAAAAAACAATATGTTAGCATTTTTTGCAATTCAATTAATCTAAAATATGAGTTTATGGAGATTTCAGCTTAGTGGATCAGAAGTAAGTAAACAAGCCAATTTTCTCCACTTGTCATTTCAAATTGGGTTCAAAATTTACAGATTTATGACGTAAACAAATCGTAAATGATGCTCATAAATTTAATTGCACATTTTATATGGTCTTTCTATTCGGCTCTTTTGCAAATCCGCAGTTATATAAGAGTTGATTTTTACTTTTTCTACTTCTGGAATGGCCAAAAAAGATGTTGAAGTTTGAATATTTGATTTGAAAGTATTCAGACATTTTTTTCTTACCTGTAGTCCGTTTTCAGTTCAACTTGGTACATCCATAGTTATTCTATCCAGTTTCTTTCTACCTAAATAGTCAGTCGCATATAGAAAATTTTAAATGAATAACTCATGGAACTGCAATAATTTTCAATGTCAGAGAGGAAATCAAAAGGTCAGAGGGATAGCGCAAATCAAATACAAACCTGACCTTTGCGCATACCATGATCCGGGTTAACTCCAGTTAATCCGTGCTTATCTCGCGCACTTCAAAAGTACCTTCCCATTCTTCAGCATAGATATACGCTAAATAGGAAGATTTTTCGGTTATCTAGTGTACAATTTGGTTTTTTCCTCCAACATATTTGAGACTAGGAAATTTTTTACATTTTCTGCCACTTCGTACAAAAGCATATCTTTCAACGTCAGTTAAGAACCCGATATTTTATATTTCGGAATACTGTAATATAATTAGTGCATTTTAGAATTTTTTAGAAGCATTGTAAAATTTGCCAGTTATAATATGCTGAATCATTTGAACTACCGTAAGCTTATCATATGATAAGCTTACGGTAGTTCGGCACGGCGTCAGTATCCTGAATTTCCATGCAAAACGTATTTTGAAGTCGCTTCTGGTGCCGATAGCAAATATAATTCATTCCTTCGTTTGGGTTCTACTGAGAGGCTACGGTAGCAATACGGTAATGTTCTCGCAGAAATTGATGAATAACCAAAGGTGGTCTCCGAAACAATGATCTTTATAGTCAGCTTGCTCAAAAAAAACCTTTATACTGGATCGGAGCTTCCTGGGATGAAAAACGCAAAAAATCTTAGAAAATGTGAATCGAAGAGTTTCTGAAATGGTTAGCATGCGACTTCTCCCCGCCCCTATTTCGTGCATCTGTGCACTCTATTTTTAGAGAATTGCATTGTTTTGGATAAAACTCTAGCAATTTGCTTCGTTTGACCTTTGTCTATGTATCTACCATCGGTGCGCAGTATCCAGCTACCGGACGATGTCTGGAGCCTGCGTAGGTAACTTTGAAAATTGCACAATCTAATGAAGCTTCATCGTAAAGTAGAGGACCTAGCTTCACGAAACATGCTCCAGGATAATAGGCTCCAGACACACATGAGCGTTCATACTGTACCGTGTCGAAACACCCATACGTATATTTTTGAATCTTCTAATTCCGTCTACATTGTTGACTGTCTGAGCAACATATTTTCAGATTTTGCGCCATGGCCACTCAACAACAGATTTTTCGTACAACTTTAGATAGACTTGACACTACAATGCAGCTTTATTAGGGTGAGACAGATGTTGCAATTTTTCTGTCGCGCCAATTCAATGTACATCCCTTCGGTGAAGAAATTTTAGGACATTTGATGGTTTTTCTTTCTAATCCTTCTATCACTAGTTTTTCACAAATCACTGTTCGACCTCGTGAAAACCATTTTGAACCATACGGCCCCCTGACGATCGCAAGATTAATACGCCGCAACCCGTCTCCTTCCCCCAACTTAGAGGCTCTGTGTACTACAAGAAGTTAATTCAGTTTTCTTACAGTGTGGAGGCTTCAACGCGCCGGAATAAGCCGCGCCGCACCTTTTTCGTTCCGGGTTCCGCCCACTTCTCCACTAAAGGCTGACCTGGAAAGCTTCGAAAAAAGTGCATTTTTGTCATTTTCATGCGCTGAAAAGCCCAGATATGGGTTCCTCATGGCTAGAAGGCTCCGAAAAGTTGAAGAACTGGAAAACAAACGTTGCCTTCAAATCCATGTCCACCTGCCCAGAGGGGATTGCCTGTTGTGCAGATCATGAACTTTGAGGAGAAGAAGCCGATCCAAGGTTTCTTTTTGTGTGAGGAAAGAGCGATGAAATTTCGTTTTCAGATTATTCTAGAATCTCTGAGATTTATTTATCACAAACTACTGAAAGCGCACAAAAGTCGTAACTAACTCACGATAGCCGAATAGCTTACAAAAAAATTACCTCAAAGTGCACAGCAAATTTTATTGGCATGCTATCCAAGTTCATAATCCAAATCGGCTGCTAGGCTTTACTTGATCTCCAGTGTAGCTCTTTCGCAAAACATGACGTTCCCCATGAATATCATGTCTGACCCTGATGTAAGCTCCAGACGAAGATACAGATAAAGATTTATTTCCAAGATTGAAGCTCATCAGCTGATAGTCAGTGATAATGAACATACAAAACAAAACAAAACAACCCTTTGACGACTAACAAAAACTATATAAGCTGTCTTATAGATGAGAATCTCAAAAAAGAGTAAAGCTGGTAAAAATCCGTCCAAAAACGGCTCAAGTAAATAGGTAGTCAGCGTCGGCGTCAAAAGGTTAATAAACAAGATCTGGCAAGACTTGCACAACAACGAGATATTATTAAACAATCTAGAAACTTCAAATGTTTGATCTACCACTTTTCACCGGATCTAACTTAAAAGTGATAGTATTATTAAACAATCTAAAATCATCAAACATTAGCTTTGCCACTTTTCACTGGATCTAACTTAAAAGTGATAATTTTATCAAGCCATTCTACTTCATGGTTTGGCTGTGGAGGTCCAGCTAATCTCTTTTCGTAGAATGTAGCATTATCTTCGTGGTCAACCACAAGTATGCTATGAGATCTTGTACCATATCGTCTCATTTCCAGGGGAAACCTTGTCATGATTGAGGTATTGTGCAGGTACCACTCCGGTGGACGGCCACTTTGCAAGGCCATCTGTGGATCAGGGAAAAACCTGTAAAGCTTTGCTAGTTCTGCGTTCAGAAACATGACAGCATGACAACTGAACTGCGGCTCTTCTGCACTTTTACAGTATACTACCGTAAACTGGTTAAATATGGGATGCGATATGTTGATCTACGAAGTCGTGACAATAACTTTACTAAATTCGCAAGGTTAGATAACAACAAATTCGCACAGGTATTTCCTAGTTCCTTAGGACTTAATATGTGAGACTACACACTATGCGCGCCAACCAACGACATCTTTATTTAACTCCTTAGCAAAACCTTTCCCAGCGCAACAAACTGCAAATTTTTGTAGTTCTAATTAGTATATATCCAATTCAATCAAAAGAGGCAAAAGAACAAGGAGAAATCACCGATTAGCAATCCAATCTCGCAATCGTCAAATAGAACGCATAGTGTGCAATACACTTATCAATTTACAACTCGACGACAGATAATCAGAAGAAAGCCTTGTGCCAAAAAGAAGTCAACATTACGATAGCATACTGTCTTCAAATGCATGAAAGACTGTACAAAATAACAAACTCACTGTCTTTTATCAGTTCCTATTATCAGTAAACGCTCAATGATATCATCGACTTCAGTTTCGTTATTCAAGGAAGAAACGAACTTCTCGAAGAGCTTTTTGCCCTCAACAACTTTTCGGTACGGTTTTTCTGGAGGACTATTGCCAAAGACATAAGTTCCTGAAAATACCATAAAATAAAGTTGGGTAATCCCGACCAAAAGATTTTCATTGATTTTTTCCACTCCAAAGAACAATCCGATGCAAGAATAAAGTTCGCTTGAATTATTAACGAAGGCAAAAATTGGACGAACGAATGAGGACGAGACAGTTTTATTATGATAAAACTAGCTGGCTTACCCGGCTCCGCCGTATGTTCCAAATAGAAAATTCCATTTCTTAACCGATCCGGACCAAACTTGACACACATACACTTCGGGCCCCGGTGGGTGTCACAGTCCACTTTTCGCTATCGATCGATGTCGATTTTATCGATTTTTTGCAAAATTTGAGCTACGGGGCTGGAATTTGGCAGGGGGGTGTAATCGAGCATGCTGATCACCCCCACGGGGGTGATCAGCATGCTCGATTACCCCCCTGTGCCAACTCCCAGCCCCGTAGCTCAAATTTTGCAAAAAATCGATATCGATCGATGACGAAAAGTAGCCTATGACACCCGCCGGGGCCCAAAGTGTATGTGTGCCAAGTTTGGTCCCGATCGGTTCAGAAATGGAATTTTCTATTCGGAACATACGTACAGACAGACAGACAGACAGACAGACAGACATACAGACAGACATTCAGCTTTATATATTAGGTCGTTTCAAAAGTAATTTCGCTTTTTTCAAACGGACGCCACATTTGATGGAACAAAATTTCTAGGAGATCTTGGAGGCATTCGATGCAGCATTTCATCCTCTTTTTAACAGTAGTGAAATATTTGCAGCTCAGTCATTGAGTTTTCAAAAAATAACCAAAACCTGCGACCCGTGCTTTTTCAGATGGTCAAGTTTCACAATTTTTCAAAACTTCATATCAACCCTCAGAAGGAGTTCAAGTAAAGATTCGATAGAGTAAACCTTACAGAATACAGTACTGCTTTTTTCTCTTTCTCGTAGCTCGCCGTAATTTTTTAAAAGATTTTTTACCAAAACCATCGGATTTTGGCAAGCCCACCTCAGCCACAATCGCATCAAACATCAGTAGTTACTCGGAATTTCAAGCTTTCAAGATAATATATGACTTAATATTGGTTTTATAAAGCAAATGAGGGTTTACGGACTCGAAATATCAAATTTCGAGTTTTTCGGGTACAGCCTGGGGCTCACTAAAAAAATGGATTATGATGATTTTATCTCCGGAAACTGAACGAATCGGAAACAAAAAACGCCTGTTAGAAAGAGGAGAAAATGCTGCATCGAATAGTGCGCGAGTTGCTCTTCTTTTGATGTTCTACGAGGATTTAGCTGCGCAAGTATGGAAATCGGTAGCATCAGTTAAAATTCTGTTAAAAATGTAAGACAAGCTATGGAAAGGAGAAAAAAGTAGTTTTGCATTCTGTAGAGTTTGCTTTATAAAGGCGTTACTTAAACTCCTTCTGAGGATTGATATGAAAGTTTTGAAAATTTGTGAAATTTGACCATCTTAAAAAGCATGGGTCGCCGATTTTGGTTATTTTCTGAGAGCTCATCGATTGTTTTGCAAATATTCCATAACCATGAGAAAGAGAATGAAATTCTGCATCGAAGGCCTCCAAGATCTCTCAGAAAGCTTTGTTCCGTCAAATGTGGTGCCCGTTTGAAAAAAGCGAAATTACTTTTGAAACGACCTAATATAAGATTGTATTAGGTTGTCCGGAAATTAACGTTTTGAATTTCAACCGCAATAAATCATACACATTCCTGAATTGGCTTCAAGATACCGTTCGATAGAGCAAAGCAAGCTCTACAAGGTGGCTGTCTCGCTTTAGCGACAGCTCTGATCCATCTCGAGTTTCGAGCCAAAAACCAAAAGGATTCAACTGCCTGAAAAATCGAGAAAAATCATAGCTCATTCGAAAAGAATCCTACAAAAATTCTAACTTGCTCACGTAAACAATATCCACATAAGACATATATGTACGCCGTTGCCGTTTTCTTCCTCTGTTAGAAATCAAGAAAACGAAAATTTACCTGCTTCTGCCAAAGTAATGCTGTGTCGTCCCCACATAAGTAGATGTATACTACAAACTTGTAGAAGTACAAACGTAAATTTTCAGCTGTCTACAAGCTTTAGTTCTCGAGAAATTTGAATTTTAGATTGGACCACCTGATTAATGAAAGCTGTATTCGATATTTCTCAAGAATTAAAGCTTGTGGAGAGCTGAAAATTTACGTCTGTACTTCTACGGGTTTGTAGTATACATCTACTTATGTGGGGACGAGACAGCATCACTTTGGCAAAAGCATGTAAATTTTCGTTTTCTTGATTTCTAACAGAGGAAAAAAAACGGCAACGCCGTACATATATGTCTTATGTGGATAGTGTTTACGTGAGCAAGTCAGAATTTTTGTAGGATTCTTTTGAACTGCGTTATGATTTTTCTCGAATTTCAAGCAGATGAATCTTTTTAGTTTTTGGCTCGGAAACTCGAGGTGGATCAGAGCTGTCGCTAAAGCGAGACAGCCATCTTGTAGAGCTTGCTTTGCTCTATCGAATGGTATCTTGTAGCCTATTCAGGAATGAGAAGTGTATGATTTATTGCGGTTGAAATCCAAAACGGACATTAATTTCCGGACAACCTAATACATAATATTAGTAAAAAAAAACTCCAAGGAGCGGTTCAAATACAATGAAACTGTATATTACCTGGAGACCATGATCGCGATTTAACCTCATCAACATACATACTGGTAAGTGATGTCATATTATAGCAACCTTCGTAATCCCTATAAACATCAATCAAAAAAACGAAACAAATACTTTGAACTTTCAATGACCTACTTTTCTAGGCCTAAGAACTGAAAACCATTGTATAAATGGGCTTTATCCGAAAGATCGCCAAAGAATTGCTTCGTTGTACACGGTGTGCTCAGATAATCCTTGGCAATGATACCTAGAAAATTTTAACTCCATTTTATGCGCTATCATAGATAGATATAAAAAAATCAATAACAAAAAAAATTCATGATATCCTGATCTGACCGTCTTTTTGCTTGTACCTGACGAGAAATTCCAATCAACTTTTTACAAGCAAAAAACCAGATCTTGTTTCAGAAGAGTTCAGAGAAATAATAAAAATCACTCCTCTGTATCTAGCAGTCAATATTTCCTAGCAAGGTATAATAAAATGATAGTAAAATAGTAATGCGAAAATGTTTTTTTCTTTACCGAAATACCAAGATTTTCAAGTGAATCTCACCTCTGCTAGGACAACCAGATTTCATTGTAGGAACCGGCTGAGCTATCGATAACAGTATTCCAACTCTGCCTTTCTTATTTGCAGCAAACCATGTACCCTTCGCTGGATCCTGTATGTCGGTGCCTGGAATGAATTAATGAAAGACAGCAAAGTTCAAAAAACAACAAGACCAAAACATGTTTTTATCACCGGAAAATCAGCGAAAACGACAAAATCTTATTACAGGGTGTCCCAAAAAAAAATGTATCGAACGTTTGATCGTTGATATCTCTCTTCCTAAGAAATCTTTTGCCTTGCTTCAGGTACCGTTTTGTAGAGCTGGCTTCAACTTAAATTTGCATTATAGAACGAGTCACATCTCTCTTCATTGCTGTAGGATTACGGTAGAAACTTGAAACGCATGGTGTCAATGTGGAAAAAGCTGCCGTTTCAAAATCTTTCAAAAAAATGTGAAAACTTGTGCATTGGAGTTTTTATGGATGCTGAGTTCAATACTCAACTATTCACAAGATTACGAAACTTTCTAAAGGGTGTAACCGCACTTTTCAGGAACACTGAAAAAATGGCCGCTACCTCTTACCTGGCATAACTCTTCAACGAAGCATCATAATAAATTGGAAACTTTACAGTTATAATCAGCAACTCCAATTAGCTTAGTGTAAAAGTTTTCAGGTTGTTTTGTTTTCTTTCTGGGGCAAAATATGGCCTTTTATTGCTTAAAACCCTCTTTGAAGTTTCTACCGCAATCAGAGGTGCGATAGTCGAAGCCGAATCTCCACCTACCTTCACTTTTGAGCTGGTACGGGGTGACCACCTTCACTTTTGTGTTTCAAAAAAATTTTTTGCTGAAGCTTAAAAGAGGGAAAATAAGAAAAATGAACGCAAAAGAAAGTATTGAGAGCATATATCTATGTAGTAAGTCGATCTAGGCAGTAACCGCCGAGAACCAGAATTTCGAATGATAAAATAGCGAAAAAAATCATGCGAAATTTCCACTGTTATAAATCTGGTGATTGAAGATGTCAGCAATTGCGACTTCATAGGTTTTGTAAAGTAAGTGTTGTTCTACCAGATAGTGAAAAAATCAGGTCGATCTGAGCAGTGACCGCCGAGAACGAGGATTTTAAAAAATTAAGCGATTTTAGGTTACTTAGTGACAGCTGACGTTCAGACTCCTATAAATCTGGAATGTGAGGGTGTGCAATGTTGCGACTTTATAGGTTTTGTAGAGTAAGAATTGCTCTATCGGATTATGTCTTAGCCGTACCGATCCATCAAGATAACGCCGAGATTCAGGCTCTTAAAAAAATAGGAGAAAAACCGCTTTTTGATATTGCGACTTCATAGGTTAGATTCTTCTCATCAAGAGCTTTCAGAAGATATATAATGTGTGGGGGTTTCGCGCCTGTTACGGCATATGCCCGGGGGTGGAGACTTTTCACCCCAAAGTCTCCACTGGCGGTCTCCGGCCAATACATTAACATGGGCGAGGTGGAGACTTTGGGGTGAAAAGTCTCCACCCTAGGTTAGAGCCGCAAAAATCATTGAACCCCCCACATATTTGTTATCATCTGAAAGCTCTTGATGAGAAGAATCTAACCTATGAAGTCGCAACATGATTCATGCAATTCTGAAGAAGTTATGAGCTGTTGAAATTTAAAAAGCGGTTTTTTACCTGTTTCTTTAAGAGCCTGAATCTCGGCGGTATTTTGATGGATCGTTAAGTCTAAAGCACAGTCCGATAGAGCAATTCATACTCTACAAAACTTATGAAGTCGCAACATTGCACACCCTCACATTCCAGATTTATAGGAGTCTAAACGCCAGCTGTCATTAAGTAACCTAAAATCGCTTAATTTTTTGAAATTCTCGTTCTCGGCGGCCACCCTTCAAATCAAACTGATTGTTTCACTCTCTCGTAGAACAACACTTGCCCTTTAAATCCTATGAAGTCGCAATTGCTGACATCTTCAACCGCAAGATTTATAAAAGTGGAAATTTCGCATAATTTATCGTTATTTTATTATTCCAAATTCTGGTTCTCGGCGGTTACTGCCTGGATCGACCTACTTCCTTCGCAGTGCGTTATAAAAAAATTTACTTGATAAAATCTGTGAAGTCTCGCTGACTCTCACTTTAAAACACACCATTTACTAAACACGTTTGTTTTAAATATACATATATGCCGCCGTATACATAAAAATATGCTTTCAATAATCTTTTTTTGCGTTTGTTTTGCTTATTTTCCGCGCACTATCGGCAACGACTTGGAAGGATAGGCTCAGTCGACGTTAACGCCCCCCTCCCGGTCGACGTTTTTGGAAGGTGAGTGTCTTCCACCAGCTTCACTTTTGGGGGGCCCGGCTCCACCTATCGCACCTCTGACCGCAATCCTACAGTAATGAAGAGGGATGAGTGATTCGTTCTATAATGCAAATCTAAGTTGAAGCCAGCTCTAAAGACTGGTACCGGAATTAAGGGAAAAGACTTCTTGGGAAGAGAGATATTAACGATCAAACGTTCTAAACATTTTTTGGGACACCCTGTATAAAGCTGAATGTCTGTTTGTATGCATGTATGTCTGTATTTACGTATGTTCCGAATAGAAAATTCCACTTCTGAACCGATCCGGGCCAAACTTGGCATACATACACTTTGGGGCAAGGCGGGTGTCATAGGCTACTTTTCGTCATCGATCGATATCGATTATATCGAATTTTATCGATTTTTTGTAAAGTTTGACCTACGGGGCTGGGAGTTTGCGCAAGGAGGTAACCGAGCATGCTGATTACGAATACAATATTAGTTTTCGAAATTTTCCATTAGTTTTATCGATTTTGTCGATTTTTTGCGAAGCTTGAGCTACGGAGCTGGGAGTTGGCACGGGGAGGTAATCGAGCATGCTGATTTCTGAAACAGCGGGAATAGGGAAATGGCACGTAGCGTGGGCACAGGGAAAGGTTGTACAGGGATACGGGTGAGAGCTTTAACATAATTTTTTGACAGGGCCGGGCGGAGCCGGGTAAGCCAGCCAGTATTCCTAAAAAATCTCTGATTCCTATTTCGTTGAACGTTGCCCTCTCTTTTTCTGCTGTGAAACCAAAATCTATTGAGAAATTGACTCACCACCAAGAATTCCATTTCGCCAATCCAGCTCAAGAGTGGGTCTATCATAGGATTCGTCTCGATTATTGAGTATAATCAACTTGTACCTTGATCCCAGATCATCACTGATATAAACAAATGTTATGCACATTTTGAGATCTGAAAACACCTCAATGATAATGATGAAAATTTCGGAAAAAAGCATTCAGTGGAACTTTAACGTGATCGAAGGATAGGCCTGATAAGCAGAATTGTGACAGTTCTCACCAAATTATGGGAATTTGAAGAGAGATATAAAAAAAGAAAAAAAATCTATTTTAAGTAACAAGGAAGGTCCTTTATTCGGTGGCCTTCAAATGAGTCCTATACCACTTTAAAGAGCATTCAACGCTTATTCCAAATCTGTTTTCAATTTGCCAAGCGCTTCTCGGCGCCGGATTATAAGTGGTTTTTTTTTTCGGAGCAAAAAATGAACGCAGTAGATAAAATAAACCGTCTCAGGTCTTTTAAGCGCTCAAGTAGAACAGTATGAGTGTAGCAGACAGAAGTTATCTATTAAATGAAGTGCTCTAACAATCAAAACTGGATCATTTGTGCAATTCTTGACGAATTTTAGAGTTGCGCATTCTATTTTTCAACCCTGAAAATGCTCACAACTCGGCATCGAGAGTTTTGGCAGATAATAAAGAAAAATTTGGAACCCTTTTTCGTTGCTCATTAAAGTGGTATGGGAGTCATATGAATAGGCTACCCCGACTAAACAGGCCTCCCTTGTAAGTTCATTCGTACGAAACTTCATCATATGCCACAACATTTCAATCATCGGTGTTTTGAGTTTCAGTGAAAAAAAAAACATGCCACACAAATGAAAACTTCGTTAAAAAAGAATGTTTTCAAATACAAAATGATGACATTTTCTATGCGAAGAGACAGTGCAAATCAAATATTTCGAATGAAAAACACCTAATCTCATGAATAAAATATTAATACCGTTCAGATTACAATAACGAATAGTCTGTCTCATTAGCTCACCCGTATATGGCGGTATACAATTTAGACAAGGCAAAAGCATCCAAAGCCAGTGAATCAATGGAAAACAAGAATACGAATACTATCGGCATCTTTGCGAAAAGCGCACTTCTTATCGCGATTGCTTACCATTTTTTACGACTTCCTAAGAGTTAATCGACTGGAAATCTCGGCAACCCTTGGTGGTGCTCTTACTACAAAAATTATTTCAAATAAAATCAGAAACTTTCCATACTCAGATAATCCACCGAAACTTCCGCAGGACAAGCAAAATTTGCAGCGGTTCCGCAGGATTTTACTTACTGTTGCAATGGTGGAAACGTGAAAATGGGAAATTCCGCAGGGTTTTCAAGTCATACTGGTTGGAAACTGAAACTTCCGCGGGACTTTCGACCAAGCGCTGCGGAACTTTCAAAAATACAGCGGGTCCGGACTTTGAAAAATACAGCGGGTCCGCTGGATTTTGACATGCCAGTACTTCCGCAGGTTTTTGGATGTGTTGTCTCGTATGATGTTGCCTCGCCAACAACTACAGTGCATTATCGAACACGTCAGCCGTAGTGCAGAGGATAGTACGTGAGTCTCACAGACAATAGAGTAAGGTTCAAATTTCGCTAAAGTGTTCTCTTTTGCTGTTGTTGTTCGCATTCTTCGATACTTCCGCAGCGCCTCATTCGGGAACTTCCGCAGTACGTTTACGGAATTTCCGCAAGTGATCCGGCGGGACTTCCCTAAATGTTCTGCGGAAGTTTCGGTAAGTTGTCTGAGTATTAGTATTTAAGTAAGCCTGCAATAACCAACACCAACATTAGCACTCTAGAAGATGTGTTCTCATCTACTCAATCAATGAAAGAACCAACAGAAAAAAATCAAAACTTTCATTGCGTTACATTTTTTGTGAAGATGATGAAAAACAGGGGGTAAAAAAGGAAAGAGAGAAAGATTTCTGCTCGTCGTAGCCATTGAAATAACAATTATGTCACTGGATAAGCCTATGAGGTTTTTAGAGTCCAGGCAATCTATGGAAGCATAACTTCTATAAAAAAAAAAGACGAAAAGTTTTGTATCACAAACAGGTATGAAGACTAAAAACAACGGCAAAAATGAGGAATAGGGAAAAAGAGAGGAATCTGGGGGAAGAGGAAAAGAATAAGGCTAGCACTTGTTCTCGTCTCATCGCAAGCTCTCGCAATAAAATCTTACACAGTGATATATTCATCATCACCAATGGCGACGCACGATGCCGATGATAACAAGGAAAATCTTTGGTTGTAATAGATATGACTCATTTCGCGGACTTTCGAGTTGTTGATATCCTTGCAAAGCTATGATCTCGTTTTGTGATATACATATGCATATATAAAAGCCAAGTATTGCTAAAGGCAGAAAAATGATTTGGTGTTCCCTAAAATCATAGCCAAAAAGAGGCAGATTCAAGAGCACTCGCACATGACTACTATTAGGTTGTCCCAAAAGTACACCGTATTTCTAAATGTATCAAACTGTTATCGTCCTGGCAGACTTGGGGTACCTTTCGATAGAGGGAAGCAAGCTCTATAAAATGACCGCAAAAGATCTGCCTATGTCGTAATCCAGGTAAAGTTTGGAGCCAAAATCGAAAAAAAATTCAAAACCTAAAAACTGGACTTCTGCGAAGAATAATCATACGAAACTCGAACTTGGTCATTATACAGTAGACACACAGTAGTACTCAGATATGCCTTGACTGGATTTTTTCCTAGCTTTGAAAGCGAGAAAAATGAGATAGCTTGAAAATGGCAAACTTCACCCCAGCCCCTCCCACACATGTCACCGTATACTACAAGCCTTACTAAGTACAATCCTGCAACTTTGCTTCTGTATTGCTCTTATATTCGAGAATACCAAGTTTTACATGAAAGACCCGAAAGTGGCATTTTGGCATCTTTGTTTCTCAATTTTGAGCTCCAAAGAAAATCAACCATAATCATTTTTTGGGTACTACTATGTGTTTATATAAAGACAGTTAAGTCCGTAGAAATTTCCTGGAAAGAGACCCGATTTTTGGGGTAGCTGAAAAATTTTGATTTTTGGATCCAACTTTTACCTGGATCGCGACTTACAAGGGATAAATACTTGGTCGAAGTGGCATTTCCAAATAAAATGTGTACTGTTTTATAGAGCACTAGATGGCTTACCCGGCTCCGCCCGGCCCTGTCATTATTTTATTCGTAACTAGATGGCTTACCCGGCTCCGCCCGGCCCTGTCATTATTTTATTCGTAATCAGCATGCTCGATTACCCCCCCCCCCTGTACCGACTCCCAGCCCCGTAGCTCAAATTTTGCAAAAAATCGATAAAATCGACATCGATCGATGACGAAAAGTAGCCTACGACACCCGCCGGGGCCCGAAGTGTATGTGTGCCAAGTTTGGTCCGGATCGGTTCAGAAGTGGAATTTTCTACTCGGAACATACGTACACACATACATACAGACAGACAGACATACAGACAAACAGACATTCAGCTTTATATATAAGATGGAAAGCTGAGTTCAAACCTACCTTCGGTATCTGCAAAGCGCATTTAGGAGGGGAGTTATGGGAATATTTTGATGCAAAAATTTGAAAGCGCCGTTACAATAAAATCATTCGGAACCTTAGTCCGTGAGTTAAAATGGAGCCATGAATGCTACCAGGGCGTTTTATGGAACAAGGCCTTCAATCTACTAAACTCATGCCAGTTATTACTCCTATCAGAGCCGAAGAGACCTCAACACCTACCCTAATTTCACGCGTACAAGGCGCGGGGTGGTCCTAGCTTTCATCGAGCTGCTCAGCCGTCCCAACGTGTTTTAAGAAACGATCCTTATGCCGCACGATTTGTCAGGCAAAACGCAGCACGGTATGGGGTTCCTTTGGTTGCGAAGTCCTTTGCCGTGTTCGGGCTGGTCGATGAAAGCTAGGACCACCCTGCGCCTTGTACGCGTGAAATTAGGGTAATTTTATCTTAGCCAAATCATTGAATTTCTACCTCAAAAAATTCGCATAATTCCCTTCCCAGAAACGCTTTGCAGATACCGAAAGCAGATCTGGAACCAGCGTTCAATGCTCTATAAAACAGTATGCATCTTATAGGAAACGCCACTTCGACTATCCTTTCCTTGTTAGACGGTTCTTTAGTGGTCATTTTCTAAAGCTTCGCTCTATCGAATGGTACCCCAAGTCTGCCACAAAACAAGTGAGCAAGCCAATAAAACAAACCAACTGTTTGGTTTATTTAGAAATACGATTTACTTTAAGGACAACCTATAGAATTACGGAGTGGCGAATTTATAACTAGTGAATTTCATTTTTTCGGGTTGAAATCTCCAACGAAGTTAAACAATTCCCTTCCCTCGAAATGAATTTCAGAAATAAAAAAAAATTAAAGAAAAAAAACAAAGCTAAATAATTCAAATAAAAATATGAAACGGTACTGCTGACAAAAAAATTTCCATTTAGACAGATGATGCACAAAGTCACAGAGGCGGTCATTAGGAGTAAAAACTCATCAAACGATGTTTACTTGAATTTCGCAGCTGGGCGGATCGATATTGCGGCCTAAGAGAACTGAAAAAAAGCTAAAAACAACTATGTAACAAACAGTAGCTAAGTAAAAACACCGAGAATCCGAGCCACCTGCGACTCCGATTTTTCTTCCTAATTCGAGAAGTTCAGCACGCATTGATAGACTTTATAATAATCAAACATCACGTAGAAATGGAGCGGCAAACAAAGCAAAGAATGCATTTGCGCCAGTAACACGCAGAATGCATGTTTTTATTTATTGGACGGAAGAACGTGAGCAGAAAAAAAAGTACAGCACGCGGTTTGGATCAATTTGATGTCCGCAAGTCGCAAGCATCCCTTTGCTCGTACTTTGAGCTTGCGCGATTGAGTGGAAAGACATTCACGTGCAGGGCCTTGGCAAGGAAAATGTTCAAAGAATTATAAAATCAACAACTGAGAATATGCACAGATTCACAAAAAAAATAAAACCTGGAGATATTATTCTAGAAAAGTTCTGTTACAAATTCTCTTCGTATTCTGGAAACAGTGTAGAAAATTGGTTTCGAAGTCTCTAACATACCCACCAGCATCATTTTTGCCTTAACAAGTTTGAGTTACAGTTGATTTAGAGACAATTCTCTTACGGTAATCCAAACTTCAATTTTATACTTACTTTTGGGATTTCTCTATCACATTATTTTCATCTTTAGACTTTCATGGAATTCAGGAAAACATATGTATTATTACGAAGCCAGTTTGAGAATTCAAAAAACTATCGGAATATAATACCAAAAACGCAAGTTGGAAATGTGCCAAAAATAATTCGGGAAAATTTAAAGAAAAGTTAAAAAATTTAGTGTGACTGTTTTATCAAATCCCACGATCTTCCATACAGTTTGGAAATGAGGAAACTTTCAATAAGTACAGCAAAGCTTACGTAACTTAATATAAATATAAAAATCTGAAATACAGGGTGTCTCAAAAGTATGTATCGAACGTTTGATCGTTAATATCTCTCTTCCCAAGAAGTCTTTTGCCTTGCTTCAAGTACCATTTTGTAGAGCTAGCTTCAACTTAGATTTGCATTATAGAACGAATCACTCATTCCTCTTCATTACTGTAGGATTACGGTAGAAACTTCAAAGAGGGTTTTAAGCAATGAAAGGCCATATTTTGCCTTAGAAAGGAAATAAAACAGCCTGAAAGTTTTCACACTAGGCTAATTAGAGTTGCTGATTATAACTGTAAAGTTCCCAACTTATTATGATGCTTCATTGAGGAGTTATGCCAGGTAAGAGGTAGCGGCCATTTTTTCAATGTTCCTAAAAAGTGCGATTACACCGTTTAGAAAGCTTTGTAATCTTGTGAATAGTTGAGTATTGAACTCAGCATCCATAAAAACCCTATTACACAAGTTTTCACAATTTTTTGAAGAATTTTGGAACTGCAGCTTTTTCCACATTGACACCATATGTTTCAAGTTTCTACCGTAATCCTACAGTAATGAAGAGAGATGGGTGATTCGTTCTTTAATGCAAATCTAAGTTGAAGCCAGCTCTACAAAATGGTACTTGAAGCAAGGCAAAAGACTTCTTGGGAAGAGAGATATTAACGATCAAACGTTCGATACATACTTTTGGGACACCCTGTATATTGAGTTGATGCAAAAGTTCTTTCGCACCAAATTCAAAACTCATAACTTGTTGAATTCCCAACGAATTTACAAAGTCTAAATTTTGTATAAGAGAGGAACTCATGCCCTTTGCATGTGTACCTGAACTGTTCGTTAACGTATAGAAATGAAGGAGATAGAAGCTCAAAGCCAAAATCACTCAAAATTTGAATTTTTCGTGTAGGGTCATAAAAAATCGGAAACTTGCAGCAAAAATCGGAGCAGTCGGTATTGTAGGTTCTTTCACCAGCTCTATCTAACAGCACAAAGTTTGCGCCGACTGAGCGTCTATGAAAAACTACGATTTCCCTGAAAAATGCCAAAATAAATCAAATTTGTCCTTTTGTATTGCTTGCTCGAAAATCATAACTTTTCACAGAGACATTCAATGAGCGCAAACTTTGCAATGTTAGAAAGAGCTGGCGAAAGAACGTAAAATACCGACTGCTCCGATTTTTGCTGCAAGTTTGCGATTTTTTATGACCCTACACGAAAAATTCAAATTTTGAGTGATTTTGTTTTGAGCTTTTATCTCCTTTTGTACACGTTAACGAACAGTTCAGGTACATATGCAAAGAGCATGAGTTCCTCTCTTTTATGAAATTTAGATCTTGTAAATTCGTTGAGAATTCAACAAGTTATGAATTTTTGAATTTGGTGCAAAAGAACTTCTGCATCAACCTAATACATTCAAAATAATGATGATGTAGAGGAATCAATTTTTTTAAATCAACGCTCAAAAAGCAAATATTCTTCGGATATGGTTGACTTCCGAAGTCCATAACGCAAGTCACGATGAAATGAGTCAATGGTTTTATCAGGCATAAAATCCATGGAAATCATAGTGAACGCACTTTGAGAAGGCTGCACTGGACTTTTGAGTCAGAGGCACATAATCTAGAAGCTTCTTCCTCACCCTATCGTCGCTGATCCCTCCCCCCCCCCTTCGTGAAAGCTGTGAAACAAATCTAATTGCAAGGGTCGAGCAAAATAATTTAATGTATCGCTGATGCTGGGACAGCATAAAAGGGTTCCATGGGTTGATATGGGAAAAAAGCGCATTGAAAGAAAATCTTCTAGCAGTTGGAAAAGTCGCTTTTAGTCAAGTGCCTTTCCTTGTTGGGATATGCCTTCCTTGATGGCTCTCAATAAAGAAGTGATGAAAGCTTTACTCGACGAAGTCTATTATTTGGAAAGATGGGTGGCAGGAAAATTAATGAAGTGCCGAAGACGAGATATTAGATGAAAAAGCTATGCCATAATGGGTACTTGAGTTTTTTCTCGACGGACCAGTCACCAAAAAATATGAATGACTTTTTTCCAGTAGGTTGGATGAATCAATACGAGTATTCCCAGACTAATAAATATTGTCGTGAACGCCAATACGAGTCTGCGTCAACGAAACATCTCAATCACCAAAGATCAAACATCGAGAAACGCAACAATGAAAGCCGTATTATTTCAAATTTCGAATGCATTAAAAAAATCTTGAAAATTCAAGCAGCTTTTACGATCAACTATTCGGAGCAAATCGAAAAAATAGACCCCTATAATCTGAAAATGACGAAATTTACGTATGACAAGTTCGGATCCAGAAGACAAATGCACGTTGTCGGGTGAGATGACGCAAGCACACTACTTTATCATTTACGATCGCGGACAGGAGGTTCTTTGTGTCGTTATAAAGCCAAAAATCAAAAGGTCTCGATGTTACTCTCTAAAAGTGCCAGGAAACCCAAAGAAGATTTGAAGAAAGAGAAATCCTGGTGTGCATGCTGAATCTGCATGAATAATTCTCGCAACCGAACATTTGAAACATAAGAAAAAACAGGAAAAGAAAAGAAATGTTGAGGTATACCACGAGTACGGGCTACAAGAACAAAATTACGCTACGGCGGAGTAAGTGACTAGAACGGACAAAAGTGCATACTCTTTATACACCACGCCCTCCCCTTTACTCGAACGAATATATAGCAATTCAAAAGTGCGAAAGGAACACATGACTAAGTCCCAACAGTGTGTAATGTATCATTCCCTGCAAAGCTGAATGCAATGATGGCGAAACCGGCCGACGGGTTTAGTATAGCTTCTGGAATACGAAAATATGTGGTCGATGATCCCTTGCTCGCTTGGATATTAGTAAACAAGGGCTGGGAACACAAGAGATTTAGAGAAGCATAGTTCGAAATTCGAAAATGATGGAAATCTACAAAAAGGGTCCACAGAGTGGTATGCGAAGTGAGGACTCAAGGCCATTAGCAGGATTGATTGCCCAAGTGCATATGACAAGCTTCTTTGATGCGTGACGTACATATATGCTCATGAATGCCCTAACTGTTTCAACAAAAAATCGAAAACCATCCGAATAATCTGTTGATGAAGTTGTTGAATATGCGTGCGATCTAGTACATCGCGCCAATACTTAAACGTAAGAACGAGGAGATGAGAAAGCCGGCTGCACAATGCACGCTAATTTCATTCTCCATGGGGTGGCGAGCAAGAAGAACGATATGCGTTTTTTTTTTCAAGCGTTTTTAATATGTAAGCGAAAACACCGGTTTTACGCCAAAATCACAATTGACTCTTACAGCAATGGCAAACCCCAAACGGATAACCATAGATGTCAATCTGAAGCGCAGAGGAATTCCGACCTAACCAGTTCGAACAAAATGACTGATAAAACGAATTTTCTTTAAAGTTTCCAGAAAAGAGTGCTTGGTTATTCTCTCCTCTCATTAAAAAACCTATTTGAGTAGATCGCGAAGAAATTTTCTTAACGTAGATAGCTAATTCAATAATTTCAACAACAATCTCGATGGCATTGTTTACGGGATAAGGTTGCGGGGACTACCTTTGTATGATAATCAAAATTCCGCTGTCTCGGCTGCTCGGAAACAATGATTGCAAAGCAAAGCACCCATCGTTCTCGAGAGTTGGTCAGGTGTGAGGAAATGCATACCAAAGATATAACAGTATGATAATTACAGCAAGTCAGAATAGAAATGGGGATGACGACAGTTGGGATTTGTAAATCGAATAAGCGAAGAATGAGATTGTTCCATTTCGACATATGATTTGAGTGGCTTGGGTCGCGTTCGCCTCGCTCGGCTTTGCGACGCATTCACGACTGTATTTTTTGGCTTTCCATGATCGCAAGCATTCAATGCCTTAGGCGTGAGAAAATGTCCGAGGGTGTGTCCGCGAATGCAGCGCAACCAGAGCGAGGAGAGCGTAGAACTCGAGCCGCACGAGGCAGCGACACTGTCATTGAGGCAATGGGTAAGATGTAACTGCGCGAGCTATCGCTACACCGACACACAAACGGTTTGCTCAAGCCTGCTTGTTTGTTTGAGCCTGTTTGATTTCCATCAAAGGCTACTCAATTATATGGTTCAGGTGAGCATCGTCAAAATGTAACCAAGAAACGTGGATAGTGTGCTCAAAAACACAGCTCGGTCGTCCCCACTGCGACAGGCTCGGCCTTGGTGGCCCGAGCAACCATTTGCTTTTGTGTACAATGCACAGCGGGGGCCATTACCCACACGAGCGGTCTAATGTTCAAAATAATATTCTAGAACAAATCACATCCCTACCTTCATTTAGGCGAGTGGAAACGTCTCATATGACGATTGAGACTGAACGTCTTATTGGTGCGAAAAGGACACAATTTGCAAGATTTGGAACCTGAATACTGCGGAGTTCTCAGCAGATGGCCAGTCTTCACTCCATGTCTGTAAAAAGCAAACACAAGAAATTTGGCAACAACTTAGCAAATGCGATTCGTCTGCATCTGCTCTTATCCCGTACACGCAAGGTTTTGTCAGACATTTAGGAAGCATTTTTGACGCCATAATCATGCGTGTTTTTGCGTCACCAAACGTTTGCGTATGACAATGTAATGTTAAGACGGTGTGCTGGATCGCAGCACCCATTGCAGCACCCAGTCAAAGGAGATCAACGCGCGATGCGCCGCTATAAAAGGGGGCCAGCAGTATCGATGGATCACTTCTATCGCCACGCAGGGCACTGAGCCCTTTTCTTAGTTTTTTAGTTCTTGTTCATCCTAGGGTTCTATTTTTCCATGTTTGTTCTCTATCATTCCATTTTGTTTGTGTCTCTCTTTATTGCTCAGAAATATTCAGGATCTTCGTTATTCATCATTCCATGATTCACTTTTTGTATCTCACATTTCGTTGTGTTTCGTCGTTTACTTGGTAAATAAAGTTTAATTACCCAAGTTTGAGGTGCGCACGAAACGGTCTGAGCCACGCTATATCCCCTTTGTGTTGGACAAGCTGGACCTCCGAAACCAGAAGCCAAAAGTTAGGTATCGAGGCCAAATTCAATCCAACACAGACGGCAGGGAGTTATCGGCATTCACAAAGCATTTCTTTTCGGGTGAATGTTGTCATCATTGCAGGTGCACCATATCGAGCGTTAGTTCCACTAGACTGTAACTGCTGCAGGAAGGGCATGGTCTGACATACCTATACAACGCCTTTCTGTTATTTCCTTGATAGCCGCATGTTGCGCAATTAAAGCGATTTTCCTTTCCTGGTGATCTTGACGTGATCACGTCCGAAGCCGCTGAGACTTGTTCCGAAGTCGTGCGAGATGTCATTGCAGCATCGATGGCAACCTCAGAAAGGGCTGACTGCTCAGTGCTGTCACCATGACGTTCATATGAGTACTATAATTGTAACTTAGAGTGAAGGAAAACAAGTAACAAATTTTTAAAACTCTACCTCCACTGCTTGCTGATTCAAGACTCGAGGTTGCAAATGGGTTTCTGTAAATCTCACTGATGAAGTGAAAATAGAACTTCGATTGAATGTCAAAATTTTTACCTGGCTGATGTTCCACCTCTGAATGCGCCCAAGTAAACTCATCACCTGCGTCAAAAATCGACGGAACCGCTTCGAAACCAAATCCTGATGTTGATGGTTCGTCATACAAACCCGTAAGCGAAGATTCTCCAGCGAAGCGTTCCTGCATTCCAGAAAGATCGTTACGTATTATCTATCACAATTATACGTACCACGATCATTTTTTCAGCTTCCCAAGCCAAAGTCAGCTCAACTTCTTTTTCAAAGCGTCGTCGAACACTAGCATCCTTCATTGAAGTGACTGCCTCCGCCACTGCTGCTGTAATAACGCACAATGCTTACGAGTGCACGAACTTTTTCGCTATAAAGAACGAACCACTCATTTGCCTTTCAAAAGTGGTTCGTTCTAAGACTAAGACATACTGATGAAGCTAGGCTGATTAGAAACACCTAGAAGCGTGGAACACCTAGAAGGTGCAGATATTCTGTGAAGACTTGTTGATTTTTTTTGGGCGAAACCGCACCGAAGAAGCATAGCTAGACTACAGGAGGCGGTCAAAATGCGCGATTCCCTCGGCTGTCAACAACATAAAAAATTAAGCATATGCAAGTTTCAAAATCACCGAACAGCGATTTGGCTCACCAGCTGTTTGAAGTTTCCACTTGCTGGTTTAACACACGTAAGGCCCACCGGTGGGTCGTACGTGTCCTGCCACTTTGGACAATATATGCTTTCTGAAGTTTCTGATTTGGCTACTCGAATTTTTTTAGGCAGACTGAGTAAACTTCTGTATGCACCTCTTGGAGTATTCCCAAAAATTAACAATCAGATCATAGGACCCATCAGTGACCTTAAATTAGTAAGCAAACTCAATTTTGCGATACATGCTCTGGTCCGAAATGGCAGTCATCGAAAAGCCGGCCCTGTCGTGAATGTGTTGACGGCTTTTGGTGAAAAACGAAATTTTTACGGATTAGGTGTTGTTTGCATTTTTAGAGGTATTTCACCTTTTCCTGAGGTCCATGACTATACAGTCGAGTCATTTCATATGATCATATGTGTCACTGCACATGCCATCCTGGGGTCCCCATCCTGCATTGGAGCAAATCCGTTCAGGTGAGTGTTTTTTTAATATCAATTTCCTCAGAATGATGTAAGCAGTGACAGTCATTCAAGCTCTTGCGTTTTAGCGATTGCGAATCAGGATGGAAACGCCAAAGATGGACGTTATGTGCAGCACACATTCTTATATATAAAGCTGAATGTCTGTTTGTCTGTCTGTCTGTCTGTATGTATGTATGTCTGTGTGTACGTATGTTCCGAATAGAAAATTCCATTTCTGAACCGATCCGGATCAAACTTGGCACACATACATTTCGGGCCCCGGCGGGTGTCATAGGCTACTTTTCGTCATCGATCGATATCGATTTTATCGATTTTTTGCAAAATCTGAGCTACGGGGCTGGGAGTTGGCACAGGGGGGTAATCGAGCATGCCGATTACGAATATAATAATGACAGGGCCGGGCGGAGCCGTGTAAGTCAACTAGTATGATCATATGAAATGAATAAATTGTATCTCGTAGTAATCTAAGAATAGTATCGTACCAACTTTTCTTTACAAAAAAAGCAGGCTCAATTTGGAAGGAAACAATTGCTACAATGAAATGCTACAATTCAACATTTGAAAAAGGCGTGTTGTTATTTCGGTTGCGTTTTCGATCTAACCTTCGAAAGCAATCAATTCACTGTTGACTACGTATCGCTTGTTCCTCAGCAAGATTCCTATAATACCATGTCATCTCGATGCCTTTCGTTCTTTTGAGCGCATTAACCTTGGGCAGTTCCTTTGAAATCTCAGGAGAAACGTGTCAAAAAGAGCGAAAGGCAGCGTCGACCACGTACGCACGCTGCTTCACGTGGGAACTTTTCTAGGACACACAGGACAAGTATGCGTCAATGGATTGCACCGAAGCCATTATCAACATGGCACTATGGTCTCAAACATTCTATAGCACAGCATCTTAGCTTATCGATATGAAAAAAAAAAGAGAACAAGATATCAAGTCTACCTAACGCATCCTTGTGTTGCTCACTACTAAGCGCATCGAAATGAGTTTGAAGTACCCGTAGTTGTTCCATAAATGCATCCATTCTAAATCTTCATCTATTTATCAATAATTCTCATCATCTATTTGCCACAAATACTCAAGCTATGGCTACTTATGATTATTATATCACAAGAAACACTGACTAATCATATTTTATTATCACAAGCTAATAAATACAATCACCAGACATCACAACCACATATTACTGCACCGGACATGTAATGATTTTATGTCTACTTCTACAGTAAAAGGCGTATTGGCACTCGATTATCCCCTTAACATTGCAAGACGTGCACAAAGAATAAGGAAGACTTGTAAGAACTACCAAGTGTTATAAAACAATGACCTGAGAACTAGAAGTGAAGATGTTTGATTAATCAGGATGAGAGAATTCTGAGGGATGGTACTTGCATTTCATTCATAAACTTAAGTAAAGGTATGACATAGATTGATGAGTGGCTATCGGAGATAAACGTGAAAGATTCTCCGAATGAAACTGAGAAAACGCCGCGAAAAATAAATAAATTGACCACTTAATTTGTGGAAAGGGTAAGCAGAGACCATTGCGCATAAAAACTGTACAGACAAAGAAGCACTTTGAATTCAGTCAGAAAAAAAGAACGATCATTTCCCTTACTTCAGGTCTTCCTCCTCTCCTTCTTCACCCACTGCAGAAGTTCCTCCTCCTGGTGCACGCAACTTCTTCATTAACCGTAGATACTACAAAAATGTTTTCATAGTCGAAATTTGAGAATGTGCAAAATGCAAAAAGGCAGAAGATGTTATCTTAACGCACCTCATTATCCATACTTCGTAATACTCCATCTTTCAACACATTTTGGAATTGCTCATCATCACCGCCTTCCCAACCACCGATTAGCTGACGGCAAGCTCTTGCTTCATCATTGAATTCAAATTCAGCGCACTGTCTACAAAGGGCACAATTAACAAAAAACCTCATATCGCAGTAAATAACTTACTCTACAACCCATTGGTAGCATTTTGCAGCCGCTACGGAATCTCCTCGAGCTAACTGGACGAGAATAAGTGCTATTGTGAGTTGGCCAACACGACCAGGTTCCTGAAACAAAACCTTAGGGATTTGATTTAGCACACACAACAATGCTGATGTCGTAAAGCAACAGGTCTGTGCCGGCGCAGGAAAACAACGCATCAAAAGTCGGTATGCATGGACTCCTGCGAAAAAAATGGGTCGATGGATTGATACTACGTCAGAATCTTCTTTCTTTTGAGACCAAGTGATATTACAATTTTATTTCCTTATTAACTTATCGTTGTTTGATTCCCTTAGCCCAAAATAACCATGGCGCTGAAGTGCAGCTAATCAAACTCACTCCAGAATAACAGGCAAGGCAAAAACAATCAAAGACAAGGAACGTAAAAAGAAATAAAAAAAAGGAAATTACCAAAATGTGGGAATCCAAAATCGCACCAACCTTGACTTCAATATATTTTTCAATTTCCTCTTGAATGGCTTTCGCAGCCGCATCATAGCGTTCCAATCTCAAATTTAACCTTGTAATGTGGCTCAAAAACTCCCCGGCCATCTTCGAACGATCGGATTGTTGCACGAGTGCAAGGCCTTTTTCGTATAACTAAACCATTTTGTTTTTCACAGGATAAAAGTGAGAACTATCCTATTCACCTTGATCGCTTGTTCAGGCTCCGCTTGTACTATAACTTTAGCAGATTTGTCAACAGTCATTGCAGCTGTGTCCAAGCTGCCCGATTCGGCATACTGATCAATAGCCCTTTCGAAGAGTTGAAAAGACTGCGCTGTGTCACCAGCATCTCTCAACAGCATAGCTGCACCTTCACGTGCTCTGAAAAATCGCACTCACAGATTTCGCCATAATTCAACAATGTGATTAAGCCAGAGAATATTTCATTTGAAAAATTTGATGGTTAAAGCGTAGATAACCTACACGACATAAGAGACACCGTCTATGATTGGCTATTTGTTGTTCTGTTTTTGCTTTTTTTTTTGCACTAACCACGTTCGTCAGGAGCATCTATGAATGCACAAAATAAATAAACAAATAAATAAATAACCTAATCCCACATCATTTCAACAAAATAAAAACGCTAAACACAGAGCATTGTAGCAACTAATTCATTGTATCCTCGAGAATTATTCCCATATGAACTATCAACGTGGCTGCTTTTCGATCGTTTTAACATGTTAACTCCAGCAAATTTAAGGCGCTTATTTGGAGCTGACATATTAAAATGATTGAAAAAAGCCACGTCGATGAGAAACAATTCCGGGGGATGCATCATATATCCGAAAATCAAGGTGGAGGTATACAATCAGTTACAAAGCCAAAATCCTCGCGAAGCAATGACTCTTAAAGAGAAAATGTGCCAGGTATATTATCAAATACAAATGATAAACCGGAACAAGTGAAAACCTTACTCACTTTGCTGCATGGAAAAGATTCCCAATTTGTTCGTAGTGTCCAGCAGCATCCACCAAGGTTTTCGCTGCTTTTTTTGGATCTCCTGCATTCCTATAGCAGACTGAAGCACGTTCAAGTGCTGTGGCCGCTCCATCATAGTCCGGTTTGAACTTCAGTTTGATCACAGAGGTTTTCAAACTGAAATAGCTTATTGTGCTTTGCGTTTCAATTGTTACGAATCTTTTTCTATGACCATTTATGCGCAAAATGACGTAGAGCTCATGATAACTCAAAACAGTCTGGCACTCATCAAACTGCATATCCACCCAAACTTCGCACAAATAATGTCAAAAACATCAGATAGGAAAAATTCGAACAATTTAATTGAGCGTATGCAATCATTTTTAGCGATTACTACGATGCGCTTTGAACTCGGCAATAGATATTGTTTCTGATAGCGAATGATGGATTTTGCAATGGTGGAGCAGCTTCCGCAAATGACGCTAAGGGATATCAGTGGTAGTAAATAATCGAATTTTGGCAATGTTTTGAGACTGATGCAACTATACGCGTGCTAGTAGTTATACAGCGTTAAAATTAATGATGGTTTGATGGAATATTACGGGATATAATGATTTGCCGCTAACTTCAAAAACTTCAAAGCACTATCGACCAACTCGCATAAAGAGATGCTACTCAAAGCGCTTCCTTTTAACTCTTCTTCTACTACTCAAGTGACAACTCACCATTCCGCAGCTTTTCGCTCACATTCTGCGGCCTCGCTGAGCCGTGCTGAATTCGACATCTGCTGCGGCCAAGATTATCTGCAAACATCACCAGGTTCGACACTTACATTCTACGCCAATCGACACAAAACGGATTCGCGTTGCTATCACGTCGTTCACGAAAAGCGGCAAAATGGCAAGCTGAGAGAGTGATGCATCAAGATGTGCGCAGCTTATGTTGTGCACTGATTCTTTGGTAGTGAGACAAGTTGAAGCTTTATGCAGATTTATTTCGTTCATTGAAATGAGCGGTGAGCTGTGTAAACTGCTTAGGCATTCGCTGGAGTTTTGAAGGTTTTCAGAACAAAAGTTTTTGCGCGCTGAAAGTAAACTTACCTTTTTTTTTCAAATAAGCGCATTTCTATAAGTAAGCGCATAAGAAAGAAGATTTGAGCTGTTAGGAAGATCTTCTGACTAAGATGTTGAGTGTTGAATGTGATTACGCAACCTGTGATAGTTGTTGAGAGAGCACCAACAGATGAAGAATGGAAGAAAAACAAAACAAGAATTTATCGACTGTTGACAAACAGCGCACTTATACAATCAGATTAGATCAGACAACTTCGTATAGAATAGACCTTAACAGAAAGAAACTTATAGCATGAATCAAATATGTGTCCTAAACTTCTTGATTATATATATAGAATTTGCTAGTCTTCAGATATCTGAGTAGCAATGAGATGACTTGATTCCCGTATTTTCATATTGATGAACAGATGTTTTGCAGAGATGTAGATGTGGGCGGGGAAAGAGAATGTCTGGAGATAAGACTTGATGATGAAGACGAGCGGCAGACGACGTGGCTTGAATGGAGCGGAGTGAGAGTGGATGCTTGGAAGACGGGACAGACTTAGAGAGCTAAAAGAAAGAGATGGGAAAGTCCGTCTCTTTCTAAGAACGGTTGACCGTTCTGCGATCTTGAGCATCGTTTACGACGCGCTCAATCATCGAACGGCACAAACGCATGCTTTTCTCGTCTCCGGCCAAGCTGGAACAGATTCGGATGTATTGATGATAAACAAAGAAAGTTAGACGCAAACCTGATGAGTCTGGTGCCTACGGGTAATTCAGGCCTAGCATCGCGCTTGTACACTTGCACCTTGCAGCCGCTGTAGAGTTGAATCTCCAACAGAGTGCGCGCTTTTGGACCTAGCACAGCTCCAACTACAGTGTCAGGGACCTAAAGTATCAAAGCTGATGGTCTCACAAAAAATTCGCCCCTAAGTCTAATTTCTACTACAGCTACTAGTGCATTACTATTCCATGAAAATGTTGACATAAAAAATTGAACCAGCGAGTTCTTTTGAAAACACAAAGTCAAGAACAAAAAGTGACAACCTCGCAAGTTTGGCCTGCCACTTACAAATGAAACTCACTTCCAATTCGATGGACTCGTTAGAGATGCGTCGTTCAACGATCACAGATGAAGCGAAGTTATCTCCATTTGCATTCGCACCCGAGCCACTCCTGAGAACCTCGACCAGAAGCAAATTGACGGGCTAGGCATAGACAATTATTAGCCCACTTCTCGACCGAAAGTGTGTGAGCTTAAAACAGCGATGTATCAGCAGCGATGATGAAATGATTTAATCTCTCAAATAAGAAAATATCAATAAGTATTTGCTTATCGATACTTGAAAGAAAATTGGAGATTACGAAAGCAATTTCAGCATGACATACCTGCTCCATAGTATTATCTCAAGTAAATGAGGACTTACTCTCTATCAGAAGGAAACTGTGAAAGCTAACTACCGTACGCTTCATCGCTGCCAATACATAAACTTACAAATCCCTAGCTGACCTCCACCAACTGGTTTGGAATAGATATGAAGATGTGATTGCTTGATGAGATGAATCCATGAATAAGCAATATAACAGCATTTTAATCAGGTTTTGGAATGGAAACTGTTTGATGGAATGGCTGTAAGCATCTAGACCATGATTCTGATTATATTTTCGGATTTGATGCTGGATAGAAGGCTGGATGCTGAGAAAGCAGGACTGATGACGATCCAGCTATGATACAATGTGAATACCAACTCTTCATGGATTTTGATATTTGGATTCGAGGACATTAGTCACTGCTCATGGACTAGAAGCTAATAAATGTATTGTGAATGCCAAGTCTGAGCAGCAAATGCAATGATTGTAGCAATGGAACCTCTATCGAGAAAACTGAACCGTATCCGAATTTGAAATGAGTACTAACCGAACCAGAGCATTGTGATGAACGCTGATGTCAGAAGATAGCGATGTTATGCATGATGATGAGCAAATAAGTCAATACACAAAGCTTTATTAGGAATAGAGGAAATGAATGAGACCACAATGATTTTAACGACACATAAATACGCATGAAACGACGATTGTACTAAAAGTACTACGATGCCATGTTACTGACTTGATCAACGGCGTTGGAAGCAGGACACAAGGTGGCGGGTGGGAACTGCCCGATGATCATGCCGCAAATGTCAAGAATATGTGAAAATAACAATATGAATAAATAACAACAGATGCAGCCAATGGTGACAGGTAAAGATGTCTCAGAAACCAGCTGGTGTTTAGTCGTGGGGTGTTTGTGTGTGGTGTTAATGCAAGGGTCTACTGTTTGTCGCTACTGCCAGCGAATCTGAACTCCCTGGCCTTGGAAGCGACCTACCTGGTCACCACCAGCATATCCACTTTGGTCACCGAATCCGGCCACACCGTGATTACTCGGCATCGGTGGCGCCTGCGTCTCCTGAGCCGAACGCATCTGAGCCATGGCAGCTACGCCTAGGCCAAGACCAAGGCCCATGATGTTGTATTTGGCAAGAACCTTCAAATGTTGGATAGGATACCGTACATTCAGTAACCTATCTGCCCTATACCTGCATGGCTTGCATAACCTCTGCAACGCTGGCCTCATTGAAGCCGGAGGAACGAAGAGTGGATTGGAGGTTGTCAAGGAAGGAGAGCAGCTAAAACGTGAACAGTTCTCATGGGAAATCAACGCTGAAAACTCTTTGGACATGGATGGATGAAACTTCGGATGCTTATAAGTGAGCAGACTTCAATAGTTGTTAAAAAAAAAGAAAGCATGCGTTGAGAAGGTCGATTAGGCGCTCCGATACATTTCCAGATGACCAATTGGATAGCTAATTTGATCGAGGCTCTAGTCATTCATATTCTAAAAAGTAGCGCTACCGTTGACTGATTTCCATCGCCCCCGCCCATCCGATCTCGTCCAAGCTGTGGCATTTGCGGCTGCCCAACATTTGGTTGATTTCGTCCGTATCCACGCTAAAGGCTTGGCTTGGTTTAAAGGTCACTATGTCAATGAGTATGAGGTTCACAACGGAAAGAAAAGAGATTTTTCTTTGAAAACATTCCAAAGTTGACCTCAGGGTTTCATTTGCTTATTGTAACCTGTTTACAGCATTCATGGGACGAAACATTTTCCGCTAAGATTCTCGAAACAAGACTATTTTTACTACTGAGAAAGTTATCAATTCAGCCTGAATGTGTCGTATAAAAAGTGTGCGATCGGACAAATCTAACCAGGTCGGCTGGGCGGCACAATGAGATGTCACAACCTAGTGCTATCGGAAAACTCGGTCAATACCTCAAAACATTCCTGAGCGCAAGAAAATAGGAGTTCGTTGGCAGGTAATGGTAGCTACTTTACGCTTCCATGCAAATCAAAAATGGCACCTCCTGATTTCCCAAGCCTGTCATTGGATTGAACTTGATCGATGGTTGTTGTGCAGCGGCATATCCGTAAGTCTGCGAACCAAAAGCATTCGTTCCTGAACTGAATGTCGATGTTGCACCACCATTGCTGAAGGCGTTGGTGGATGAAAAGGAGGAGTTCCCACCCTGAAAATAAGATGTTAGTTGAAGTATATATTAGAAGGAATTTGCTTACCCTCGTGCCACCGCCTTTGTTGCCGAAATCTTCCTTGTTGATTTCGCTTGTGTGATGAGGATCAGCAACAACTTTTTCAAGTACTCGAGCTGTTGCTTGGATGAGTTGCTGAAAAAGGAAAAAAATTATCCCACGAACTGAAAGTGTGAAAATTTCAATTTACCGAGTGATCCTCATGGGCTAGGGTAACGATGCGCTCCAACGAGTTTTGAGCCTCAGTCGATCCGGCTTTGGGAAAGACCTAAAAGTGAATTATTTGAAATCTGAGTTGGAGAAATCAAAGTCGCAAGAATTGTCTTCCAATTTCCATATCCAGCAGTTGAGATATGGTAAAGATGGTTGAACTGATGACCATCTTCACACTACTCCTAACTACTAATTTGCAAATTCAATTTACTTAAATGATATTCTCAGAAAATATGCAAATAAAAACCCAGAGTTTTCCAAAGCCTATTTATGTAGACAAAAATTTTGGCTATTTTTTTCATACATATGGTTGCGACGCTGAAACACACCTGAATTTGGCAGCCATATGTCTCGCGGATGTCTTTGATATTTGCTCCAGATTTTCCAATGACCATACCGGCTGATGTGTTTGGCATGACGATTTTTACCTTAAGAAATTAACTCTACACATGCTAACATCGAAAGGAGAGCATCTATTCAAATTTACAAACCTCATTACCACGGCTGACACCCTTGTGATCAAATGCATCCGAAGCTGTTGAGCCTTCGCATTTCTCACGGATTTTTTGTAATATCACATCAATAACACCAATGACATTCTGCACACGACCTTTTACAAGGCAAATACGTTCACTTGTACCTGGAAATCGTCAACTTCGACTTTCATGATAAAATGCGAGAAATGTACAAACCAGGATAGGTTTCCGAGCTCTTGCTCATTTGTACACGGCACTGATGATCATTTTTGAGATTTCTCATAGCTTCTCCTCCTTTGCCGATTATGGCTCCGACAGCGGCAGAGGGGATGAGGATTTTTACGGCCAGATTATCTAGAAAGAAAAGATTAGAGAATTTCTGGATATGACTGAAAGGACAAACTTACTGTCGTCTCCATCGACATGGGCTCTTTTGCTAGCTGGACCATCGTATGAGTCTTGGGCTCTTTTGGTTCCAGCAGAATGAATAACAGACAGTGGATTTCCCTCATCATTGTGGTTATCATGGTCCTTGATGTCCATTTTTTAAGATACTGTTTACCTGTAAACAACGTTAAACTACAAAACAACAACTAAACAAGGAAATGACAAACATGAACGCTACGATGACCACCGCACGAGTAGCCAAACGTACAATCAAGCGCAGCCTCCACATCTCAAAACGAGATCGATATCGCGCTTCGGCCGCGCCGCTGCCGTACGCGTACAGGGGTTACGATAAGGCGCGAGTTTTGAAAGTGAAATCGGCTCGATCACAGCGGGGGCTCCGCGGAGGGCAGCAGATGGAGATGTTTGAGGCGATAATCCGGTTGAGATGGGTTAATTTATCGGGAAAGTGTCCGCGAGGAGCAAAGATGATATAATGGCGCATAAATTAGGGAAAGTGCAGGAGGTTGACCTTCGTTAGGGGCATTCATGCATTATTATGCGAAGAATATTGTCTGAGCTATTGCTAGGTACATATTAAATTCTAATAATCCTATGTTCTAGTATTCTATCTATTATTCTGATCTAGTATTCTACCGCTATCTCATTAACCCTTCATAAAAAATTCATTATTATGTGCCACACTTCGTTCGATTTGTTTTACCTCACTTATCGCTCAAATTTCACTGTTTTTAGCTGATTTAGCGACTTGTCTTTTACGATTTGCTTCGTGCTTGAACTTCGCCTTGGCCGTGCCAGAATAGTTTCTAGCCATTTTCGTGCAGCAAGCTTTGTGCATCCTCTCATCCTGATTTGAAAGCGCTTTTTGAATATATTAGGTCGTTCCGAACGTAATGTCGCTTTTTTCGAATGAACGCCACTATTCATGGAATCAACATTCTCAGGAGATCTTAGAAGCATTCGATGCAGCATTTCATCCTCTTTCTAATGGTTCTAATTTCACTGTATAATGTTCAATGAGCTCTCGAAAAATCACCAAAATCTGCGACTCATGCTTTTTGCCATGGTCAAGTTCGGCTATTTTTCTGAATTTTTGTACTTATTCTCCGAAGAAATATAAGTGACTGGTAGATAGAGCAAACCCTACAGGACACAAAATAATTTTTTTCTTTTCCCTAGCTTGCTTCTCAGCGTTTCTACAATCAGTTTCTCAAAGCCATCAAATTCCACATTTAGTCAAGTCAAATCTCATAGAACAATAACCGGCAAGCGACTCGAGTGTCATTCGATGCAGCCTTTTTTCCTCTTTCTAGCGGTCATTTTTCGTTTCCGATTCATCAAGTTTTCCGGCAATAAATCATCATAATTCAACTTATTCAAGGCACCCCAAGGTGTGCCCGAAATTTTCGAAAGTTGCTAAACCGAAGCGGTGAATGCCCGTTTGGTTTGTAAAATTGTTGCCAAACCATAATCCATCTTTGTAAGTTTCAAAATCCGGAGACTTGTTGGCGTTTGATGCACTTGTGTCTGAGACGAGCCTGCTAAAATTCGGTAGTTCCATCAAAAAATCTGTACAAAAATTATGACGAGCTCTGGAAAGTAGAAAAAAATTGTGCTGTTTTCTGTAGGGTTTGCTCCATCCATCCATTACTTGGACTCCTTCGGAGGTTTGTTATAAAATTTTAGAAAAATTGTGTAACTTGGCCATCTCAAAAAGCATATGTCGCAGATTTTGACTCTTTTCTGGAAGCCCATTGACTGTATTGCAACAGCTTCGTAGCCATTAAAAAGAGAATGAAATGCTGCATCAGGTGCTACCAGAGCCTCTTACATATCTTTGTTCCACGAGATGTGGCATAAGTTTGAAAAAAGCGATATTACTTTCGGAACGACCTAATATATCCAGCCGAGAATGGGTCGCGAATTTTGAAAGTTACCTATATGGGTTATAAAAATGTGCAAATGACTTGTTTATACTTGTAAATAATTGAAATAATTTTTAAAAATTCAAATTAACCCTGTAAAAAAATTTTTTTTGGAAACCGCATTCTGTTCCCACAAAATTCTTGTTTCTCTTTTGAGCCTTTTATGGACAGTCATCATTATAAGAGTCTATACAAAGAGTCTTTTCTGATGTGTATGAAATCCTTAGCTAGTGCCCGTCATACTTGGCCTAAAAGCCGAAAGCGCTTAAAAGCCCTAGAAGATGTCAGAACGTCCTCTCTCGCGTGCGCAGCTTTCAACGTTGGAGCGTAAGGCCTGGGGCATACTTTACGCGATTTCAGTCGCGCCGCGATTTGGCAATGCTTCAATTGTTTATAATTGGTTATGAGCTCATTATGAATGAACAGAAGGTAGGGCACTTCGCCAATCTGCGAAAGCCATATATACCGCGAGTCTGGAATCCGCAAAAATTGCAACTTAGGATATGCGGCAGATTGCCAGATCGCGTCGCGATCAAAATCGCGTGAAGTGCCCGAGGCCTGAGGGCGCTTTCATATATACCGAGCCAGCAGCCGCCGCTAGCCTCCTTTGAGCACTATCTCATTTTCCGATTCCTAATGTCGAAAGCACCAATTTTGCTCAAACCTGTTTTAGTGGGGTTACTCGGCATGTTCATTATAAATAGCACAATCTTTTAACTTTTTGGAAAGGCTTTGGAGTTCTGGGATAGCGCGCAAAAGGCAAAGGCCGCTAGCGGCGGCTGCCGGCGCGGTATGAAGGCACCCTAAGAGGTGCCTTCACATCGCGCCCGCAGCCGCCGCTAGCCGCCTGTAGCCGCTTTTGCGCACTATTCCAGTATTCCAAGGCGTTTGCGAAACGTTAAAAGATAATACTGTTTGTAGTCAGCTTGCCGAATAGCCTCATTAAACCAAGTTTGAGCAAGATTCGTGGTCCCGATATTGCGGCCCCGATACCGGCATAGTGCGCAAAGGCGGCCAGCGGCGGCTGCCGGCGCGATATGAAGGCACCCTAAGGCTTGATACATACCTCGCTGCTTAGGTATGGGCAAAACTAACGAGCAGCGAAGGCAGCGCTGCTTCGGCTGATCAGCGCTGCAGTTGGCTGCTGCATGAGTGCTCGTTGAGTGCAAGAATCCGCAATAACTGCGCTATCGCCAAGTTTTATAATGTTGAAAACGAGAGGATTAGCATGTTTTAAGTTGGATCTGGGGTTAGACTCTACGTTTATGAGGAGTTCTTCATGTTCCATTTTTCATTATTAAATTTATGATAGAAAGTAGCCTCATACGAGAAAACATAAGAGGAGCATGAATGTAATAATTCCGATCGATCCCTAGTAATGGCCGTCCCAGAATATGAAAGTGTCCCTAAGGGACCCGTCATACTTCGCCGAAAAAAGCCCAAAGAAGCCCAAAGAAGCCCAAAAAAGCCCGAAAAAGCCCAAAAAAGCCCAAAGAAGCCCGAAAAAGCCCAAAAAGCCCAGAAGCGCCAGAAAGAGCCGGAACACATCTCGCACGTTTTGGCGTTAAGAGATGTGTGTTAACTTCGCAATAGAGTCTTTTTGTCATCTTCTGTCTTCTGTACGACAAAATAATGTCGGAATTCTATCAAAAGTTCGTTTCTATGTTTCGGCTCTTTCTGGCGCTTTCCGGCTTTTTCGGACTTTTTGGGCTTTTTCGGGCTTCTTTGGGCTTTTTTGGGCTTCTTTGGGCTTTTTTCGGCGAAGTATGACGGGTCCCCGAGGCAATGACATGATCGGAGTCCACTAGGCGAAATTATCTGATCGCACCGCCGGTTTCTTAAATTGCAAATCTGTAGTTGACTTTTATTACTTCATATCTCTTCATCTTCATGGAGTATGTCTCTCCGATTCATCTCAATGTTTTCCCATATCCGCCTTTGAAATCCTAATTTGTGGTCTTAGGTTGCATTCATGACTTGCTCATGCAAGAAAGACGGACTTTGTTTTCAAAACGCTAGTTGCAGCTTGCAAATTGGTAACAATAGGTAGATTCAAACAAAAGCAGCTGTTTGCAGCTCAAAGCAGCTGAGATATGCTTAGAGGAAGTGAGCGTAACCCAGCTGCAAAATTTAGTGCAGCGCTGACAGCGCTGATCAGCACGAGCAGCTGCTCAAAAATGAGCCACTAGGTATGGACACGACTTTATGAGTGAACTGCTGCAACGTGGGGTAACAGCGTCACTCCGCTGCAATCAAAACGCATTAAAGGCAGCGTCCAGGCAGATCTGGACTTATGGGGCTTTTACGTGGAAAGTACTTTTGGGGCCCTAACTAAGGCACTGCCCAAGCGGCAGCTCATGTAGTGCTGTAACGGCTGAGATATTCCCCTCGAAACTGGACCCCGCGACCGTGTTTCGCATGCATTCATGGCGCAAAGCGTGGATCCTGGCGCGAAACTGCCATGAATCCATGCGAATACGTTCGCGGGGGCCAGTTTCGAGGGGAATATCTCAGCCATTAGAGCACTACCTGAACTGCCGCTTGGGCAGTGCCTTAGTTAGGGCCCCAAAAGTACTTTGCACGTAAAAGCCCCATAGGTCCAGATCTGCCTGGACGCTGCCTTTAAATGCGCTGCTGCCACCGCTACGTAAAGACACCTGACGCCAGGTATGTATCAAGCCTAAGGTTGAAAACCTGTACTGCTGAAAGCCCCAATTTCAACCAGGCCAAAATTGGCCTGGCGTCGCTAGGGTCTCGCGGTCAAGCCCAAGGCTTGCTTCTCTGCTCTTTCTGCAATCATTTTGTTCTCGTAACAAATTTATGTTTGGATGTTGTCGTTAAGCTATGTGGTACCGTAGCTGGACTTTTCCAGTACCTCCTACCTCCAGCTCTCCCAACCGGCTTATATGATATTCAGCTAGATTTCTTACACTAGGAAAAGCTGGAATATCTGCGCGATTGGTCCATCTCCCTCGCTCCGCCTCAGGGCGCCTCGGGGCTACATAAAGCCATATGCCCCGCCCACAGAGAGGTTCGGACTTGAAGCAGCTTCGCAGCTGCCTCTTCAACAAGATCGTCTCCGAATCCCCGCCCGCCTTTATCGAGGACTTCAGGAGCCTTCTGGTGCTCGAAAGCCGGATTAATAACACCTTCTGCTACTGTAGACGGTATCCGATCGGCACTACTGTGCTAAACCATATCGACGAGGTTGCGGATGAATTACAACGGCAACCAAGGGCCCGGTTGCACAAGTAGGATTAGGTGAGGATGCTAAGTTCTTTAACCTCGAACAGATATGGCTGGAGATTCCGAAGGTCCTCATCCCTGATGAGGACCAACTAT